CCTTATACATCTAATTAATGTAAATACGTATATGGTCGACGTTTGCATATCGGGCTAAGTCCGAGATTTTTTCTATTGTATAAATCGCGATCATTGTTCGATTAGCTAAATTTAGCGAAGGTAAAACCGACTGTCGCTGTGGGAAAGGAAAAATTAACTTTCCGTTTCGAATATTTTACCTATGTCGAATATTTCTCCTATGGGTTTACCATTGATATAATTTTTAATGAAATCCATACAATCCACATTCACCCGACCTTTTTTACAAAACACAGAATCGAATAATCCATAAAAATACGATTGATATTGAATAATTTTTCATACTTAACGGCCCGTTATCTATTAACGACTATAATTAACAATTTAGCGGGGTTATTTGCATGTTGTGTATTATCTCGACTACGCGCGTTTTTCATTGCGCCTTATTGAGTAGGTAAAAAAGTTATTTGTATATAAAAAGATATATTAGAAAGTTAAATGGTCGAGCCGCCTACGCGTTCCTGTATACCTATGGAAATGCGAGTTTTATCGTTACAAAATATAATTGATGGTGGGTAAAGATTGAATAATTCCATAATACTTATATCGACCTGTTATGGAGATTTTTACATTGTACCTAGCATGTAAAAAATTCTAGGTACAGTTCGACTTGTGTTTGTTTTAATATATTGGGCCTGTATACAGTAAATTCCGAGCCGCCCACGGTACAATTATTGGCGAATTTCCTCAACTTTTCGCGATCAAATAAAAGCAACCTGACGTTACACGATGGTGCGTTAAGGTTCGAAATAAAAGAGAAAACAACCTGTTGCTATGAGATTAACGAAAACCGATTCTGTTTGTACATCAGCGAATTTTCTGCGAAACGAACAAAATTGGTAAGTATGCTCAAGGAATGCGTCTAGTTGCGGGAATTTTTCTTTTTATAATAGTTACCACGTACAGGTATAATATGACATTGGAATGTATCTAAAGAATATGCAACACGGGACTATTCACAATGAATATAGGATACACGGATCGTTATCAGAAAATTTGTTTTTCCTTATTAACGCATACTTTCTTTGTTGCTATCAACGTTAGACTAGACTGGGGCATGAGTCATTTGTTACGTGCAACAATCAATGGAAAAATAAAATATGAATGAACCGATAATTATGCGAAAATTATAACTTCCTGCTCGAATTGTTATTTTTTTTATTCGATTTTCCATACTGTGATAAACCCGATACGAGAGAAAAAAACATTTTACAAAATTATTCTCGCATGACTTATTAAAATTTATGCAGTTATTTAAAAATTAGGAATCCATTACAATTGTGGCGTCATCGGCGTGTTAAAATGCACAGATTATATCCCTTTCTACAGATGAAATATGTGAAACAAAAGTGAACACCATACTAAATCTTTACTCTATTAGAAACTGCTACATAGAGCTAACTTAGAAATTCAGGTAATTTGTCACGTTAAATTTTCTGTACAGTATTCAATTCAATCTAAATTTATGTATAGCAAATTACGAGCATCTCTGAAACGAAACTTACGTTTAAGTAACGCCTCTGATATTAAAATTAACGGCCAACAAACTTTAATTGCGGCGAATTACCAGCGAAGTGTGTCGGATCTAGTTCGTCCACTATTTCATTATTATTAAAAAAATATAGATAAATAAAATAAGTATAGAAGGCTATGCGATGGTTCTCGACGAGTTATGCTCCTTTTCGTATTTAACTCTTTTTTTTTTCTAATATAATATCTCGTTACGCGAATCGCTGGAATTCTTCCAATAATATTCCGTAACGCAGCTTCTTATCTCAATAAAACGAGTTATTTATACTTCTTAACTAAATTGCTTCGGACTTTCTACAAAATGATTTATTTTCGAATTCATTTAGTTTTAAAAATACCTATAATACGCACATATACGCGCGTTTTAGATTTTAATAAATATTAATATCTACCTTAGCTCGAGGAAACCGATTATGTTATAAATTTATATGCTTTTTATATGGCATACAACATTAATATATTTTTTAAATATTTTCTTTTAGATATCGATGACAACAATTTATATATCCAAAAAAAATTTAATTAGCATTCTGACATGTTCTTGATCTTTTCTAATTAAATTGCATTAAAGCATCGTAATGGGTGCATTCAGAAAAATAATCGACAATAGGGACGACGTGTCTCGACGATGAAAACGCTCATTTCACGTTCGGTAAATGAAAATTTTAAACGATCCAATATAGTAAACAATTCACGTATCTATTTACCATCAAACGAAATATACCATTAAGTAAACATGTCTCGACTATATAACGCTTCTTTTCTCTTGTTAAGGCTACTATTTTCGTCGTATGCTGTTTATAATAAAATTGTAACCAGTTTAAAAGCCAAAGTTTAGTGATCCTAAATCGTTAGTAATCGTCTTTAATAGCTTATACGAGAAACTCGATGGATTATCTATTCGTTCGTTATGAAACAAGAGCGTTTGAATTAGAAATATTTGTATAAAATTTTCTTTGTAGTTTCACTTTCGTAAAGATACTTGTAGAAATCGGTCGAGCTTTTAACAGAGAATTTTATTGTGGAATATCTTTGTATAATAGCGGAATAAAAAAATCGCACTGTTGCATTATAGATGACAAAACAGCACCGATAATAATTATCGGTTTAAAATGTTTTCAGACAAATCGATAATAATTCCGCCAATTATGTAATTAGTGCTGGTGAAAATTCTTGTTAGTTTCATTACTTATTTACATTTTTTTGTGTAATTTCCTAGCATTAGCTTTCTTTAGTACTCATCGATTTGTAATTAGTATACAAACTATTATTTATTGTTTTGAATTAAGTTCTACTGCTACTAATTCTCGACGAAAAAATTGAAATTAAAATTATACAACATAATTAAAAGCTTTGAAATAGATAGTTGAATAATTAATTGAACTTAATAACAAACAACAATCCGGCAGGTAGTATATCTCGCAGGAAACAACCGTCTCGATTAATTTATGCAAAACTGAGAATATCGCATCTTCGCTGATCTGCAGGTGCCCAGCAGTCTACTCTGCTAGACCGCGTTCGCGGCATTTTATTCGCGATTAATTGGCATCGGCGTAGAAATATTGCACGCAGTCGACGACGACGAAATAAAACGCAGGAAAAAAAAAGGAAACAAAAACAGATACGCGAATTCCCCGACATTCCGATCTGAAAAAGGACGATTTCTACGAGGAAATGATGCCTCGATCGGAATCCCACGGATGCGCTTTAATTGCGGGTAAATGCATTTTTACGTTCACCCATCCGATCTATGATTAACGTTTTTGAAATATCCAATCCGATCTACCGCAAAAAACTCTTCAAAATACAAACATTAACCATTTTTATTAGTCGAAAACGTCATTATTTGGCGCTTCAATTTAGCTGGAAACAGCACAAAAATGTTCGCAAAAAAACCTCCCCGTTATAATGAAGCGATTTTTCTCGCAAGCGTTTTATTATTCAAAAAATTTGTCATGGATTTTCGACGCCGCCGTCGAGTAAAAATTGCCGGCTAGATCATCGCCGGAATATCGCCGAGAAACGGAGGCCGGGAAATTCGGTCTAGCTCCGGATGATTTGCCGTAAAGAGACAACTCAATTATCTCGCCGAGATGGAATCAATTTCGAAAGGGACACGAGGATGTGCCGGACACAGAAGCGGATTTCGAACGCAATCGCCAACATGTACTTTTATTAATTAATTCGACTCCGACTCGATTAATTACCTACAAACTATTTGTTTATAGGGCAATTGTTGGTTTGAATTTAAAGAGTTTGCGGTAACATTAACGTTTTTTCTACGTATTAAAGTTGATGAATGTATATTGTAAATTTTCGATTTTCTGTACAAATAAAGAGGTAACACAGTGGGTTCGATACGGTCCTGTGCGCGAGGTAAGGGCCCGCCCGTTACACTTCGTTCATTCGTTGTATACCCTGCGGAGAACGTTCACTAGGGTTTAAACGACTCTAGTAAAGACAATGGTCGAGTTTTATTAGATTTGAAGACGAAGCGAGCGCGGGAAAAGCAAAAAAAGGGCGGTCGATCGAAACGACTTCGACGATTTCCAACGAAAAGACGGAGGAAATAAGGTAAAAAAAAATGTATAGTGGATAGCGCACTTTCGTACGATTGGTTAACAATATTATAATGATTGCTCTATAATTTAACGGAAACTTTAATAGAAATTACGAGGATAATTTCCCGTGAGTTATGCACATACTAAAAAAAAATGAAACTACACATCTGAATATTTTATATAGTGGTATATCAACTAATACCTCGAATAATTTCCATTGAAGTTACTATACACCCCTATACCCTTGCATTTTTAGTTGTACTATACAACTATACCTTCCTGTCCGCCCTACCGACGCGCTCGCCTCCTCTACATCATCCCCCGTTTCGCTATATAGCCTCCCGAGTTCCAACTTTAATGTCTATGTTTCGAGTACACACAACCCCCGACAAAGGAACTCGTCGATCGAGAGGGTCTCTCGAAAGCCTCCGGTCGAATGAAAAGAACGTCGCCAGAGAGAGTGAGCGAGACCGAACGTCGAGAGCGAAAAGAAAAGAACCGAGGGGTGGATGGCTAAGTGGATGAATAAATTATTACGAACCGATTAAGTTACAGTTGAACTCGATTTCGTTCTTTCTTTTTTTTTTTCGTCCTCGTCGAACGAACCGAACTAAAAGGAAACGGAATTAGTGAGCGGGAATTTCAGAGATGCTCGACAATTTTTCGCTTCTGTGCTTAACGGCTTCGGCGGACGAGTAAATAAGCAAATCAGTAAGTCACTAAATTAAACGAATTTAAAAGATCTTTTGTCTCAAAATCATAAAAATATATAGAACGTTTTTTTAAGGTGTTTAGTAACACCTTATACAATCCAGCATTAGAAAGACTCCATTGACTCAGATATACCTGTAATGACGGAAAGAAACTTACCACCCCCCATTGGCTGTCCAAAGTGGTGGCCGCGCCGGTGGCGGGTTCCTCTTTGGTGGGCCGGAGGCCGCCGCCTCCCGGTGTTGTGATGACTTTCGCTTTCGCCGGCGACAATCGGCTGTTCGGCCGCGCGTTAAACGGAAAATAGGGACTATCGGCGGTGAAGGGCTCGGCCGGTGCCTGCGTAGGACTGGCGCCCGGCCCCGCGTAAACCGGTCCTGCGGGATTTAACGCGTACGCCTGCAAAACAACAAGAAAATTCGAGCCTCGGTTCAAAATGTGTGTCCAAAAACCGTCAAAAAGAAGCTTTTAAGCCCTTCTCGATTACCCAATTAAAAGTCTTAAACATACATAAAGAAATCAGTATATTTAAAAAAATTAAAAGCGTTTGCATGCAACAACTTAAAATAGCTTTTTAACATTCCGAAATACGTGTTATCGATTTAGGTTATCCGTATTTTTAATTGAGCGTTAATTATCAATTTTATTGGATTTTTATTAGTTCGGAAACAAATTAAAGCGCAATATTACTCTAGTACGACAGAAAAACAAAGACAGCGTATTTCTCGTTGTGGCTATTAACAGTTCAATAGGGTATCGGTCATACAAGATAAATACATAATTTTTTCCCGATGGTTATATACAAAGAATAAATTACTACATTCGCCTTTGAAGTAAACCGATAAAAATTATTTTTTAATTATCTTATTTACAATTCAAGAACCTCCGAGCGATACTGTCGGTAGTTATCGAATTCCGCGGAAAATTGCTGTTAATAGACAGGGTGTCGCTTTATAATTGAGAAACTACGTATTTTCCAACTGAATACAATTATACCTACTAAACAAACAAGCTATGTAAGTACGTAAAAATTTGCGTTTATTTGAAGTGTTTGTTTCAATTTATGTTGCAAGTTGTTAATTTCGCGAGTATTTTCGTGAAATGAGGCATTAAAATAACAAACAGAAATAAGGATGTTAAGATGATCAATTTTTACTTACCATTCCGTTATCTAACCCGTATGGAGGTTGAAAACCAGCCTTTTCTGTAACAAAATACAAATCGAATGTAGCACCGAACTTATCCAAAATCTGCATATTATTTCCAAACATACAAATAAGCGAGAAACAGGGCAATTAAACAGGACCGTTTTGTCATCAACGACCTCCATCGTACTCCTTGGAGCATGAAAATCAACTATACCCATCTTCATGCCGGAGACACATTAAGATAATATTCATTAGCAGATATGGCTTTTCGACCACACCATCCGTATCCCTTCAACGAAAACCGAATTTCCATTCGATCCCTACACCAGACCCGGATTCAAATCCAATTTTCCACCGTATCCAATATACTCACCAAGTTTAACACATCGGCCTGTATATCAATCGTTTAAAGAGTCTCTTAATTACTCTGTAAACAATACAAAATTGTCAAGTTAAAGAGACTCTTCATCTATCAACGATAGAGTAAATACAAAGTGAACTGGTCTTGTTTAGTCGAGGTTTAGTACTACAAAATGGGATAGATCGCAGGTTGAAGTGGATCCAACTCTGCGTACGGTGCTCGTCGTCATCGGGACAGTGAAGTTTGCATAGTTTTGCCGGAGACTCTCGTCTCATGCCCGCCGGAGCGTGTGCCTCTCCGGTTGACCCTCGGCGCTCGCCGAACTTTCGGACAGTAGCCGCTCCGCTGCTACAGTTTTCGGGGTTAATGCGGGCGTGCGAACGAGAGATGGAGGACGGAAGGGCGCCGGGGCACGTTCTGTCGTCGGAGAGGCCCCGCGACCAGAATTTCCGCCTTATTGAATGCGATTTGGCGCGCGCCTCGTACGATAACCGATAGCCGACTCTCGAATCTCCTTCGGACAGCCGGATTTTACCGTTGTTCGAATATTGTGTAACGCCGAATTGGGAAAGAGGGGATTCGAATCCGTCGATTAGTGGGTCAATCGCTCACTTTAATCGAGAATGTTAATAACTATAATATGTGTAAAAAAACCACGACGAAAAAAACGCATGTAAAAGAGCCGTGCGTAATTTTAAAGTGGGAACTTGCGTTGAATGTTGGATTTTACATAAAATTTAAACGGGGATCATTTCGGTGAGGTCGAATGAAATTTAATTCGAAAATAGAGTCGGTTCAGAACGTTTTTTATGATACGAGTAGTTGGGGAATTCACGCGTCGTTGGTCGCCAAAGGTTTTACTAAATTGATTTAATTTATTCCACGGTCAAACGGCTTTAATTCAAACGGGGAAACTACCAGAATAACCGTTAGTTTTCGCAGAGTAAATGAGATTTTTCTGCGACAAACAACAATCTTCAATTTTCCTCCTTGATTTCTATTAACTTCAATCAGTTGAAGTATTTCTTCAGCAATTCATACAATGCTAAGTAGGTAGTCAGGTTAAATTTGAATAGACAATTACAAGAGAGACATGAGGCAAGTGACAAAATTTCAATCCGACGAAATTAATTCCATCGACCAAAAAAAAAAATCCTTCATTAAACGCTTCCCGATACCAACAAAGCCCCATTCTCCGCCAATCCGCCAACAATTAAACCCGAGAAATCCGCACACCGTCGAAAATTAATCGCATTAACCGTTTCGCATTCTCCTTTCCGGAGAAAAGAAAATCATCTTCAACATCAACGTCTTCGATTTTTTTTTCTTCTTCTTCGGTGTGCGTTCGTCGTTCTTTTCGGTCCGTCTGGAGCGTGTCGGCTCCGGCGGTCGCGCAACTGTTGAGCCCCCCCGTTTAATGTTTCGCAGGTATCTCGAACGCAGAAGAGAAACACTACGAAACGGAGAAGAAGCAAAGTAACGTGAACTCTTCGCGGCGAATCGAAACGAAATCTCCGTTAGGGTTCGATCAGGGGCGCATCAACCACGCTTTGATGGTGTCCCGGGGGTTTCTTTTGTGCCATCGGCATCACGGGATTGATTAGGCGATTTGAATGGAATGATAAGAGTTTGCTTAGAGTCAACTTTCGAGATACCTAGAGTCGGAGGAATGATTTTATAGTTATTCCATTACGCACATCACGAGTTATACCATTTTTTACAGTGAATTTTTCATATTTTCACCATTACTGTACTTATTATTAAGCAGTTAATTTCCGTAATCGTCTGTAGAAGAACGAAGAAAGCGAGCACGTCATTACGTATGGGCTAAGTAAGTTCGAAAAAATGCAGACAAAAATATTTTCCGTTTATTAATAAAAATAATAATAAAACAGGAAATGGCGACGCCTGAATGAATCTACTCATTTCCATTATTTGAAACTAAATTCTAGAGCTTAATTTCAATATTAATTGTTTACTGGTAAAATTAGTCATATAATAAAATTGGAGATCGGCGAGGACAAATTAAAATAATATAAAATATTCCCAACATCTATTTAATTTAAAATATCTGTATGAATAAACTTTTATACACTAACATAACTAGGCTTAACAGAAAACTAAATGGAACTTGCTAACGTTTCCCCTAATATTTTAACGTTATCTAGAAACTATTAAAAGTAAAAATAAGAGTTCCATAATAATTTCGAGCCGACTCTTTGGGCAAGGTTATCGGGTCAACGCACGCCACTGTCGCCCATAAAACCCTATAGAACAGCTGTCTTTGATAGCCAACCGCCTTTTAGCTTCAGTAATTATGATTATATGTTAAACTTTGTTTTGGTTGTTCGGGAGAACGCTCATTTTTATTCAGTCCTTATCGTACGTGTGTGAATGATTTTCATTCGGTTTTATTTCGTTTTTCGAAGTATAACCGCACGCCTTCATTAGGCCCGCACGGTTAATTAAATTTCCAGTTCCGAGTTTCCACGGAAAACTTTTCTTTGTTTCCTTCACAAAGAAATCTTATGTTATTAGTTTTCTCCGTATTTTTATACCTACATGACCTCGTGGGACGTTATTTTGTTGCAATTTTTGTTTTCCACAACATTATTGAGAATATCGCGGAATCTCGCAGAATCTCGAGTATAGTACTTGAAATTTAAATTTCGAATTGTTGCAATGAGAAGGTATAGGTGGAGTAAAACGGGTAGAAAAACACCTGCGTTAAAAACGCTTAAGTTCAGATTTCACTCGAATTATTATTCGAAACTTTAGTAAATTTTCGATACGAAAATCAGATAAGATAAATTCGTACGTAAATGTAAATTAAATGATTATTCGATTCTGATTTCGGAATATTTTAACACGTACGAGGATCTACCAATAATTAAAATATTTTACTGTTTACAGTGTAAATAACTGCAGGTAAATTTAAATTTCTTCCGGCAGTAGATGTAAGAAAATTTATTTTAATATTTCACTCAAGTCAAAAAATAAATCTCATATTATTTACACTAAATAAGAAAGCTTGCAATTTTTATGTATGTAATTTTGATAGGATTAAAATTTCAATAATGAGATTAATTAAACACTATATTTAGAGAAAAAAATCTTACCAAGCCAATCTAATAGCCACATTTCGACCATACTTTCTTACATCTGAATTTTACTGGTGACTGGCGGAGTAGATGTATTGACGTCAATAGACACAATATTTAAATATTACTTAAAAGGCCGATAGCAACAAATATCGATATGAATATATCTACAAGTGCCCAAGATGGATGTCGGCAAATCCAGATAATATTTACTTTTTTATAACAATAAAAATATCTCATCGATTCTTCACTATTTCCACTGAAACTGTAAATGTGATTGAATATGATAAAATTGGCAAACTTTAGCTTAAGTCCTCTTAACGACATTATCTATACTTTTTATCATATGCACGATAAAATATTGTTTCAGTATGTTAGTAATCGTGTTCTCAAGAAAACCAAAATTTTAACAAAGACAGGTAACTTAATTATATGATTTTGTAGATGTTCAAAATTCCTTACGGTACTATTATCTTTAATGAATCGTAAGAAATTTACAAATAAGCGATTAATGTAGAATTGGGCAATGAAAAACGATGAATAAGAGAATTTTATATACTGAGAATACATAACTACAGATAATGAATGTTGTATTGCAAAAGATCACCAGTATTCTTCTAATTATTGAATTCCTCACATCTTTTGGGTTTCCAAGCAGGTGTCCTCTTAACACTCTCTATTCTACCGGCAACCAAATTCTTAATATATTCTTTTTTCCACCCTTTACAAAGTGTACCTACTACTATCAGCTTAGAAGAGTACAATAACAACGATTTTACTAGAAAAAATGTACATGAAGAGCCATTGTAGTGATAACTACAAAGAGCAAAGGTGGCAATTTCGAGATAAAAAAGAAACAAATTGTACATAGTATATCGTATCAGAAAAATTAGATTTAATACGCCGGAAAATGGGGGCAATAAATAATTTAGTCACACATTAATCAATTAAGTGTAAGATTAGATTGGCCGCAATATTAATATATCGACATTTTCGAACCGTCCCTTTTTTCCAGGTTTTAGTCATCGTTTTCCATGCCGTTCTATTTTCGTTTCAAGGTCGATTCGCTTGTATATTATTTTTTAAATCGAATAAAACACAGTTCATTCCGGAAACTCTTCAAACAATTTCGTTATTAATCATTATCTTAGAACCCGATTCAACTCCTTTTCTTACGTTTTAGTTTTACAGCCAAAGTTGAAACGCAGAGCTTCAAATTCGCCGGATAAATTAAAGCCGTTCGAATTTCCCGATGTCACAATCACGCATCGCATTGTCATAGACTAATTAGTACACTTTTAGGGTTCATTAATAATGTAATTTATAATTCGAACGATCCATTGAACACGTCACATACAATTTTGATACACACACACATGCAAAATCGAATTTAAAATGAGAGAGTCCGAAACCGAGCGCAAAGCTCCGCTTTTTCCGCGTTTACGAGGGACACATTACCGGAAAATCAAAGTTTTATGAGCTTTAATTAATTTGAAATACCGGCGGCGCTTTAATTTATAATATGTGGATGTGTGTGTGTATATCGCGAGTTGGGTTTAGTTGGGCTATTTTAAAAAGTTATTATTGAATGAATAAAGTTGCATAGGAACAATAGGTACAGCAAATACATTGGGATAATTGTTTATTTAATATGGGGAAATTACAGCGATTGCTTGTAAAAGCATAGACTCCTAAAAATCGTTAAATTATTTTGAAACTTTGAAGACATCATAAGACAATTAATACAAAATTTGACTAGTAGAACTTTATGAAACAGAGAATTCTTTATTAAATAAAAACAAAGAAAAATCGAGAAGATGTAAATGTGTTTTCTTGTATTTATTTAACTTTCAAATAAATTCACACATTTTTGTGGGAATTGACTGAAACAATTAGCTCTACTATTACATGATGTCAAAATGTATGCCATATTAAAACGATCGGCAAATAAATCACAAAGTTTATCAATTAATTTAAATAAAATATTATATAAATTCGATAGGCGAAACGAATTGTTTATTGTCAAAAGGAATTTAATATCTGTATGATTACAGAACGTAAACATAAAATAAGGTAATTTTAAAACGCTATGTTAAATAAGTTGATACTCGTGCATATAAACAAAAATTAATTAATCCGACTTTAAATGTTTACCAAACTCTCGAAATGTACTTCGATGGAAGAAACAATGTAAAACAATGAAAGTTTTATAGCGAAAAAGTTCGATAAATAAAACTTCAATTTACTCGAGAAATTCTCTAGAATACACCAAGATGTAAACAGTAAAATATCTTCATTTAAGAGTCCAATGACACAAATATCTGTTCACTTTGTATTTTACGGAATTCTCAATAAGAAAACAACAAATTCGACAGTCAGAAACAAAAGACATTGCAATCGAAGGAGGCTCGAGCGGCCTTCTAGTTTATTCACTTGATTTTAAAATTGTTACAGGAGGGTTTTTAAAGCAAGCTGTTCAATGTTTTGGGAACACACGCGTTTGAATGGTAACATTTCGCAGTGGTATCGAGCGAAAAGCCGATATCGTCTCGCAACATTGCCCTTAAAACATAGCCAATACTATAATTAATCACTTACCGGGTGCTTTGTTAGCTACTTTATTAAAACAATTTGTAAAAACTTCATATAAATGATGCATAGGTTCATCGTCACTGGTAGCCATTTTGCACACACTACACTAACTGACAAATCAACCGACACCCAGCCACCGAACTGTCAAATGTCGGCGCGGGAATATTCAAAATCGATGCGTCCAATGTGCATCTTTTATTATACCAGTTTTATCGTAATTGTTTGTTTGTTTGTTTATTTATTTTTAATTTGAGCGATTTACTTTTATTTGATTTTACATTCTTGATAAACGCCTACTGTTTTAAATTATTTTTTATCTAGTTGAAATAAAATAACGTGCGTACAGGGTAATTCAATACATACATTTGAATATGAACGGGGTGTTTTGTCGTTCGTTCTTAAAAATAAGACAAAATTAATAAAAATTGACCTGTGGTCTGTATTAATTTAGCGTTTCTTTTTAAAAATTTAAGATATATCTTTAATTTGAGAGCTCTACATTGTTGTTATGGAGTAACTATGGAACATTATTTAATTTGACAGTTTTGCATTGTTGTTATGGAGTAACTATGGACGTTGTTTATTGCCTCTATCTCCAATATATATTTTTTTTAATTTTATTTTCTATTCATTCTCCACTATTTTACCTGTATTTCAATTACCATGTTCCTCTTGGTATATCCTCTCCCAACAAGGTAAGTATATTATTTTCTGATTAATACATTCTTTAAAAATCAGCGATGACAAAAAAACCTACCTCAATCAAGGTACTATAAATTTATTCAATATTACTACAAAATTTACATAACACCCCGTACAAACGTAATAATAAAAAAGCATAAACATCGATGAAGCTTCACCTAAAAGCATGTCTAAATGTGCGCTATTCGAATAATTTATCACAAAGTTAATAAAATCTTCTAACAAATATCTTATGTTTACAACTTCGAATATTCAGCCATTAAGAATCAACGATCACTAAATATTTCACACTTTCCAACGGTACGAATTTGAAAAAAAAAACCGAAATTTTATCATTCAGTCTTCCAGCTGCTCTTCCTCGAAATTGTGCGATTGATCATCCTGTTCTTCGGCGTTATGGTTACCAGCATCATCACCTCGACCTTAAAAAAAATACAACAAATTACAAAAATACTTCATAAATGAGTAAGTTGGAAAAATAAGGAAATTATGTGCAGATACAAAACGTACCATGTGAAATTTGCCCGAGTTTATAAGGGAAACTTTATTTTATTTAACCATTCTTTCCAATATTCAATAATGCCTTAATAATACCCAAACCTTTTGTAAACAAGTAATCAATAACCTGTTATTGATTGATATATTCTTCCACTATTTCGAGACTATTTGTAATTTCAGGAGAGAATAGATAAATGTACACAACTTACCAATCATTAAGGACAAGAATGGTATATACGAATAAACCTGTCTAGTCATATAAATCAAGAAGTTGCAAAATTGGACAATGTATCTTATGAGCGTCCGGATTGAGCCTGAAATAATACAGATAATAGATATTGGGTGATTGATGCAAAATTCGATCAAAGCCAGAGGGTTATAAATCCTTTAAACATCACCCAATAACTATTATCAAAATAACACCAAACAAGCAATTTAATACTCTCGGAAACATACCTCTTACAGTCACGGGTCCTTTATTTCTACAAGTGTTGTACGAACCACAATGTTGACATTTAAATCCTACTACATGGAATTTTACAGTACTTTCCTAAAACAATTATAATATATTACATTAAATACTATAATTTAAATCAACTACTACCTGATGGCAATCTTTACAAAGAATACCAACGTAGCAATGTCTGTATTCGGCCGGCATGGGAGTATTTTCGATTTCATTATCCCAGTACTTCCAAAATTTCTCCATATTCATTAAGGAATGTTGGCAAATGGGGCAAGCGAACAAGCCGTTGGAGAGCAAACCTTCGTAGCAAGGCCGATGCAAGAGATGTCCGCAAGGTGGTACGTGACAAGGGATTCGAGAGGTGTGGATATCTTCCAAACAAATGGGGCAGTTACTTCTCGATACGTTCTCCACACACTGAAACATCAGTTCTAATACAATCCGATTAAAATCACAATTGGCTAGCGTTACTTTATGTCCGGCTTCCAGCTGGACGGGCAGACACATGTTGCACTTTTCGCAGTGAAAGAACTTCAGGGCCCCACCGATCCTGCATATGCCGCAACCTTTGCAGTGGAATTGGTTCTTATCGACGTCATCGAATAAATTACATTCTAGGCAATTGTACTGAAAAAAGTAATCAAGTGTACTTTGGTTTGTTTGTATAGAAGTTACTCGAATGTACCCTTCCGAATAGTACGCCGCAATTTTCGCAGTTGCTCTGAACTTTCTGTCTTTTATCACAAACGGCACAAATTAATTCGACTACTTCCTTTCTATTTAACGTGTGGTTTTCGTTTTCATCGTGGCAGAACCTGCACGTATAAACTTTGTCGCAACAAGGGGTCTACAAAACAGAATATTTCTTTGTTATTGTCTAAAAATAATTGGTATACGTGGAATGTTGTCTTAATGAACATGAAAATATTCAACTTACCACGAATTTCGATTTTCTCTTATAATGAGAGCAGCCCAGCATTTCCAGTGTATTTTCCGGGGGCCCTTCTGCTCGCGGGGTTGAAATTGTATCCATAATTTTAAAATATTAACCCTAACTAATATTGCGCAGAAATTAATTGATGTGACAATTACTGTATGAACGTATTGAGTACACGTTTATCATTAAATTACCACATTTATATTTTAAATATTAATTTTGCTAAATACTAAACTGGTTTTTATACCATATGTCATATTTATGTCAATGTCAAGGAATTATGTCGAAAATTTTCTCGAAAAAGTGCCTCTTATGTAAAGCACCATAGTGTACAGCCAGTTCTTAATCAAAAAATCCAACATGATACAAACGAACAAACCTTTCGATTGAAAAACCGGAATGTTCAATTTGTCAGTTGTCATAATTGTCATCGGCTACAACAAAAAACTAACCTCACAATTTTAGCTTGTAAAAAATTGTGATTCAAACCGAGAAATTTTGTTAACCGAATTCAATATGAGTCGAAAAGAAGCTTTATCATCGTTTATTCAACAAATTCACGGCAGGCCAGTAGTCGTGAAGCTTAACAGCGGCGTGGATTACAGAGGTAATTCGTTTTATACATTCGATATCGTAAATTAATTAATGTGTTTATTTAAGGTGTTCTAGCGTGTTTAGATGGATACATGAACATAGCTTTGGAACAAACAGAAGAGTACGTTAACGGGCAGTTAAAAAATAAGTTCGGAGATGCTTTTATAAGGGGAAACAACGTTTTGTACATTAGTACTCAAAAGAGACGATATTAATGTAATGATGCTTTATTTTTAAGAATAAATAATTTTTTATTTAATTGTTCCTCTTTATTGAAACCATGAAATTGAAAAAAGACCTAAAAATAATATAAAAAATATAAACAATCGACAATATCGATATCATGATTTCGTCACAATCGATTTTGGCCTCTATTGAATATCGAACACGTGCGCAATGTGCGCGCGCGCGTCATAATTGTCAAGTGAAATCATCAATATGTCACTTTCTATTTTATTTTGATATGAATCCTGATATTTTTAATTTTAGCATTTGCTGGTGTTCAGTATTGAATTTTGTTTATTGTTAAACGTTTCATCAATACAATTCCAGGGTCATCCGATTATGAATAATATATATTGCATATCAGTTTAAAAAATATTTATTGTAATGAAGTCGTGATAACTGCATTTACGTGTTTAGGAGCGAACAATGGCTTATTCTGTGAATACGACACCCCTTTTGTACTCCACCCAGCTGGATTCGGACGAAGAAGATATCGTCGAAATTAACGGCAGAGATAACAAACCTTTGCTTAAAACCCAAGAACCTCGAGACAAGTTTTATGGGGCTTACCTAACGTTTTACCTGTTGGGGATTGTAAGTTTGCTGCCATGGAATTTCTTTATAACAGCTGATGATGTGAGTATTATTTCGTGGAAATTGTGCATTGTTTTATTCAATTTAATTCAATTCCAGTACTGGATGTATAAATTTAGGAATGTAAGCAGTAATGTTAGTATAAGAGAAGATGCGCCTTCGAGGAATACTTTACAAGCGGAATTCACTTCCTATCTTAATTTAGCATCGTGCTATCCTAATTTAATTATGCTCATTTTCAGTACTGTGATAATAGAAAAGTAAGTTATAAAAGTACAAATCGATTTGTATACAATTATTTGTATTTTTCAGGGTGTCCCTTTATAAGCGGGTGCTTATACCTTTAGTAATAACGTTGTTTCTAATGATGCTAACTTTAGTTTTTGTTAATTTGAATACTGATAAATGTGAGTACCATTCCATTTTATTATCGCCATAATTAAGTAACTTATCTATAACTTACAAACAAGGAAATTCGAAATGAGATTGTACAATTTAACCTTTGTCACAACAATTAATAATTTCTAAAATATTACAAAAATATTTTATCGAAACGCTTTGTTTTTGCTTCTACATTACAAACTGTGACATGTGCGAGGTGAATCATATTTGTTTTTGTAAAGAGCAACCTTCTGCGCTTTGTCAGTAATTAGATAAGCAGCTACATTATGGGATATCGTAAAACAATTAAATTGAAAATAATTGTATTTTCTAGGGCAAGAATTGTTCTTGTGGCTGACGCTGTTTATCACCCTTCTGCTTAACAGTATGTAATTTTCTACCCAACAATTTCACCATTTTGTAAAATCGTGTATTTTCAGTTGTAACTCCGATATTCGGCGGAAGCGTAACGGGCATCGTAGGGAAATTTTCACCGACCTACATCACAGCTGTAGTGGGCGGGCAGTCGTTAGGGGGCATATTCGCGGCTCTGACTCAAATCGCCGCTCTAGCGATCGGGGCTTCCTCCACCCATTCGGCTCTGGTGTACTTCATCATAGGGAATTTGACGATCGTTCTCGCCATCGTTTCTTTCGTGTACTTGGCGAAATCGGCGTTTTTCAATTTCTACGTGAGAGATCAACACGTCGTGAGCAACATCCAATCGACCGAATCCATTCAGCTTCAAGCGGTGTCGTATAAACTCGTTTTCAAGAAGATATGGGCGTATTGCGTTTGCGTCTTTATCACATTCTTTATAACGATATCGCTGTTTCCCGGAGTGATGGTGCTGATTGAATCCGAAGGAAAAGGCCAAGGGAGCAGATGGAGCGGTGAGGCTGTTGTTTTATTTATTACATATTTCTATCAAATCGTCCCTGATGTATTATTTAACTATCATTTCACAAGGTCTCCTGTTGTGTTATGCAATAATTTATCTTTGATTTATTCAACTCTTTATGTATACAGGAAACTACTTTCTTTCTGAATATAGATTTGTTTCGTAATCGATAAATTAATAACAATTTATTTTTCAGATACTTATTTTGTACCCACGATAACTTATTTACTGTTCAATTTCGGCGATTATATTGGAAGGCTCGTGGCCTGCAAAGTCATTAAGGTGATTACGTTAGAAAAATATATTATTCCAAATTCAATTCGTTGTTCTATTTCAGCCGAAAAGTATAACATTGATAACGATATTTACCTTGACCAGGATCATATTTATTCCCTTAATATTGCTATGCAACTGCCATCCGAGACATCACCTAGCCGTAGTGTTCGATAAAGATTATTATTATGTTATTATATGTTTCATTTTTGCGTTTACAAACGGATATCTGATGAATTTGACAAGTATTTTAACGCCTAGGTAAGTGGCAAATTTGTAGATATTAGTGGTAATACTTAAATTGTTTATTTTATTTAGAATTGTCGACCACCATGAGAAGGAAATTGCGTCATTAATAACAGTAGTTTTCGTCGCTTCCGGGGCTGCTGTAGGTTCTAGCATCAGTTTGTTTATTATCAGATTACTTTAATCGAGCTAGACTATCTGAAGAATATTCAATCATTTGTTAAACAAGTTTTAAAAGGGACCAGAGTTCTAAGAATTTAGAAATTAACTGCGGATCTCATAATTTTAATTTACTGATTTTTCGTACTCTTCATCCAAGCGAGTTGGACGTAATAATTTTATTTATATATTTATTTTTGTATTTTATACTCAAACATTCCTTTTAGTTACTTTATTTTTTACTTTATATAAAATTTTTAAAAACTTATTTATACATATGCAGTGTTGGACAAATGTAATTTACCTTAATGCAAATATGAATGTTAAGCCTCCTAGTATTTGACTGTTATCTATTGATATAATAATTACATTGCGTTCAATACTGTTTTTACTGTTAAATATTTTACGTAAATGATATAATAATATTCTAGTTTTAGCAATAAGGTATAATTGTTAGAAGAATCATTAGAATATCTCGAATTTATTTTCCTATATAGACATTATACATGTGACCTATGAAATGCTATTAAAGGATACATACAAACGACTTTTTTTCATGTAAATTCTATAAATTAAATTGGCTAGAATTTGGGATTAGCACAGGACCAAAAGGGAAATGCAGGAAAAAAATTTGAAATTTAAAGCGCTGTTGTTTTTTAATTTAAAGACGTAATATGTGCTTCTATTTTTATTAATGTACAATTCATATCATTTAAATGTAGTAAATATTTGCACATAGTCTAGCGAGGCGATACAATAACTGTACGGCCTAATAAAATGTTCCTAAATATGTGCGATAAATGGACAATCTTTATTTAAATTTTCAAACTCTCAATCTAAAAAATTTACAAAAACTTTACAGTTGAGGTAATTTGAAATTTTATATAAACCGACGCAATTATCAATATATCTTTTATGAAATAATTACATTACAGTACATAGTTCTATTGTGCTGCCAAAAAACCAGTTGAAATTTTGCAAATATCGATGAAAATAACTTCGCTCTTCTTCCATTAATAAAGATTACATTTTTTTTAGAAATATACAATTTAAATAATAAAAAAACCTAATAAAATTTAGGAAATATTTGGTAAAAAATTATGCAATAAAAAAATATCCTACACGCCTTCGAGTTTATTCGTTTAAATCGGCAAAAATCCAATAACTTGTATAAAATTCTTTTTATTTACAAGTGTAAATAGCTCCCCATTGTTACACGAATTAAGATCGCTTAATAAAATTCTTGTTTGTACTTGCGTAGCACTTCCCAAACTAATTAAAGCAACGTTACTTAATTAAAACTGACCGATTCTCGTGCCAATTGATAATCCCAATTCAATCATTTGACTTATACGTTTAGCGTGCATTAAACAACTCGCTTTATTTTGCAGTGCTTTTCGATCAACGGAACCAAAAAAAAATAAAGATAGAACAACACAGTACAATATGTATTATATTATAAAAAGTACTTCCTTCGCCAATTAACTCAAAATAATCTAATTAATTTAACTAAGCCTCTCCTAAACTCAAATTCTCCTCTCCTAAAGTCAAATTAGATTATTTCAAAGTTAAATATCTAGCATCAAAAACAAAAAGGAACCGGTAGAGTAGAGGAATGAAAAAAACGTACGGTAATTCTAATCACATTAAAATCACAAGTATACATAAAACGATATACTTGCTAACACTGACTTACATAGATTAATAAAAAAATAATAGTCTCTCTTGGTGACTAGCCGACAGCATGTGCCAACCCCTTTTTATGCTCAAGTATTGAAGTAATGCACGTATGCATATAATAAGACCTGCAAAACAATTACACAACACTGTTCACCACCAAAACAAATAAGAAAAAAACGCACAGCAAGTGCTAATTTGTTTGCATGACTTTAACAAAGAAAGATTAATAAAAAAAACAACACAATAATCTATCTTCTTCCTTCATACGAGACTAATGGAAGTTGTCTTTGTTGCGCCCATATTGCGTACAAATTTACACTTACAGTCGGTGCAAAACAAATATCAATGCAACTGACTTTTCAGCGCCTCGGTTTAACTTTAGAGTGACTAAAGTCGCGTCTTGAATCCCTAGTTACTACATAACAACAATGTAAATCTGTCAAGTTAAAGAAGCGACTTTAGAGTCACTCTAAAAGTTAAATAGAGGCGCTAAATACGGGCCATTAAACTAATAATAAGGAGTAAATTAAGGAGGTAAATTATTAAGCGTAAATACGTTACCGAATGTCATGATGAGCCACCACAACCAGCTGTTATCTTTGGATGCCAATTCAGTCGAATGCTGCACGATGAACGTCCATTTGGCCAACGACAGCCCGAAGCCCGACAGGGCCCCGTATCTCGAAGCGATCGTATGGCAGAAGCACATTAACAACAAAAATCCTATCCAATTGAAGATAAAAGCAACTGCAACGAAAATGAATTTGTAAGTAACGAGCGTATATGTTTGCGTGGAATTCGTTGCGTACCAAAAAAGGCAAGATAAAACATAAAATCGGTTCCTAACAGCGATGTATCGGGATCCTCGGTGGCTTCTGTAGCATCGATAGTTATAACTCTTTGACCTGGACGAAAAGGCAATGGCTGCAATTAAGCAAATAATGCGATATGTTAAAACATTTTATCACAAACTAACGTGATTAATAAAGTAGTTATCGAACAAAATGTGCAGCAAATATTTCAGGTGACTCATTGATACAAGACAAAATAATCGATTTTACCATGATAAAAATAAACTTTTGCTAAAATTAGCATCGGTTGTTTACAATTTACAAAGCAAATCAAAAATAAGATGCGATGTGACACAATTATTTTACATCATTCATTGCATTACCGTTAAGACGAATCGATACTTAATTCTCTTCTCTTAACCGACTACATTAGATCGTTCAACGAAAATCAAACAAACATTTCATTGAAATTAAACAAGAATATCTTATCAATGAAATATAAAATTAACATTCTTTAATAAACACTATTTTAAACGCTATGTGCACTTTTAAAGGATTCTACCACTAATAAATTAAATACACAACAGCTTCTCAAAGTATGAAATAATATTAAACGAAATACCATCAACAAAGAAAACTTACCCTCGGTGTGGGTGCGTTAATGGGAACAGTATTCTCCTGTTCCTCGAGATTCTTTTCTCGCTGCACCTCTTCGTAAGTGGGCAGTTTGGTGCCTTTGGTGGCCACTTCGTAGGGGGGCGGCGCGTAGTAATCAGCTTTAGGAGGCGGTATGTCCTCGCTGGACGAACTAGCAGCTATGCAAACCGGGCTCGGCGGATTATTGTCAACAGTTATTTCTTGTTGAGCGAGCGTATTCTGAAATCCGAGGGATGGCTGTTGCGAAATGGCCTTATCGAAAGCAGAATGTCTACTTACATTTTCGTTTCCATTTTCATTAGCATTTGTCGACTCGGGCGGAGTGTGTTCCATTTTTAATTGAAATAATACAGTAACGACGGTGAATAGGATTTGTTAAATCTAATGATTCGCTAGACAGTCATTACAATTAGTTTGCTTGTTAATTAGGAACAATAAATTAAACAATATTTTTTCATTCGCCCTCACAAATCACGAAAATTGACGAACGAAAACTGTAAATCTGTCAGTTGTCAGTAAATGCCAAAAATGATAAAATGTCAACAGTTGTCAAAAAAAATGTCAAATTACACGGTTTGTTGAATAACCTAGGTGATAAGAGCTTACAAAAAGAAGAAGAAAATAACCTGTTATTTATGTGACCTATTAGCGATTTTCTAATTTGAAATTTCTAAAATATTTATAGAAAAATGTTAAGAATATTAAGCAAAAGATGTTTAGCACAAACCCGTGATAAGTTATTTCCAATTTTACAATTTCCCAAGCCGTTTTCAACCAAAGAAACTGATACCCACGAAGTAGGCGGCTATGCAAAGGCTTTTGAAAAGTTTGAAAATATCAAAGACCAGAACGAGAATGAACCACCGCAGAATTTCGCTTCGCTCCTCAGAAATTCCAGGCTGATCGACGTAAGTTTAATCATGTTTCCACTTGTTAGGCTTTACAGGATGTTTAATGTTATTTTAGCTGGGAGACCCGGAAAATAAAATAGTCACCGGAAAGATATTTCACATTGTAGAAGATGATTTATACATAGATTTTGGTTGGAAGTTTCATTGCGTATGCACCAGGCCTAAAAAGAATGCAGAGTAAGCTATGAGATTTATTAAATTATAAAGTATGGGAAAATGAGGTCTCGGACACAGACGAACTATTTTTTTATACCTTATATCTTTTTTTAACGGGAAATTTTAATATTTTTTAGGAGTTACGTCAGAGGATCGAAAGTGAGACTGATGATCAAACAGTTAGAATTGTCTTCAAAGTTTTTAGGTTATGAAAAAGATTTAACATTGCTCGAAGCTGATTGCTTACTGCTCGGTTTAGTTCAGGAGAGAACTCAGAATACAAAAACACAATAAATTGTCTTTTTATTGTTTCTTTAATAATAAAATACAATTGACACTACAATTTTATTAGAAACGAATTGTTAATAGGCCAGAGAGATACTTAAGATTTAATAATAAAACGATACAATTTAGATTTTTAAAGCTTTTTATACCAAATAAACATTATGTACATTGAACAAAAAAATATAATTTTGCGTTAACATTTAGTTAAAAAAGAATTGATACAAATAAATAATGAACTTTACAGTTTTGTGAGTTCTTAGAGGTAAATATTTTTTAGTTATATTCTTACAATTTTAGCACCCATTAACAGATTTAGGTTATTCTTTTAATATGTTTTAGTGCACATTTAATTTCTCCAATTGCCAAAAAAATACTAAATTAGTTTTCTCGAATTTAAGTACATTCGTAAAAAACAGAATAACTTTATTCTCTAAACATATAAAATTATAACAAGCATATTAGTTTCAACAACTTTACAATATAAAGTTCATCTATTCTAAAAAGATAATGACGTCACTTTTAGTAATATCCGCGCAGTTTTTTAGTGTCAATATTAATTCTGTCATTCGACTAGGGGAATTTGGGGACACACGGTTGAAACGCCGATGCGTTGTTGCCATGCAACATTTGTATTTGTAGTAAATAATTATCTATTTGAAAAATCATATAAGATTCAGTTAAATTGATCTTCTTTTTCTTATTTAAATTCTACTATTTATGATTTTTTTAAAGCGAACGTAACCTAGATATCTGTAATGTAAAAGATTTTAATTACAACTCGGCAACGTTGCAACAGGCTGGCTCGTGACGTCATTGTCTTTTAAGAACGCCTAAACTTTAAATCTCTTATATTTCGATAAGGCACTTGAGAATTCCTAGCACGTTTCGAATAAATTAAGTAAATTCCTACAATATAGTACAAGGTAAACCGCAGCACAGCGGCAAACAAACCGGCACCACCGTGGCCCCGCTGCTGCTCTTCGACTTGCTCCTGCTCTCCGCTTCGTATTGATACTTCCCCGACGCCTTGGCGTATCCTCCCTACAAAAAAAACACATCACCAGATCGTCATAAATGAAGCAGATGAAACAACTTACCTGAGCTCTCCAAGCGCCCTCGCCCTCCTCCTTCTTCATAAACATATCACCGGGAGGATAGTACACCGGCGGTCCCGAAACGTTCTTCGTCTTCGGCGGCGGCTCCTTCTTCTGCAGGTCCTCCACCTCGCTCGCTTGGTTCTTCAGCGTGTCGATCTTCCTCTGGTGGGCCCGCTCCTGCTCGGCCTGCAGGAATCCCGCGTTCAGCGGGCTAGTAGGCGGCTGAAACGATTTTAATAATCACCAAATTTCGACGTTCAATATCGAAAATCACCTCGCGTCCGAGCGTCGCCATGAGCTCGTCCACCTTCTTGGGCGGCCCGTCCGGCCCGTCGCCAGTTGGGAACCTCCCGGGCAGCAGCGGCTCGTTCTCCCCATCGGGGTACTTCCCCTTGTAGTTGTTCTGCGTCGTGCTGGTCGATTTGTACGAGTAGTGAATGTTGATCGGCTCGTTCGGCTGGTTTTTGTTGGGGTACGGCGGGCTCTTGGGATCGAAGGTCTCGACTTCTGGAGTTTTGGGGCGGTTGGGGCCGTAGGTGTTGTTGGTGGTGTGCGTTTCGTGCTTGTACACGACGGTTTTGTTGGGCGGATCGTTGGGCGGGTAGCCGTTGTGGTACGGGGAGCCCGGGCGATTGTCGTTGGTCGAATTGTGGGTTTCTTTCAAATAGTAAGTCGTGGTGCCCGGCGGATTGCGGCTGGAATCGATCATTTAATCGAGTGTATCGATGAATTGCGGGTATATTTACCAGTCGGGTGGGTTGTATACGGGGTATCCTCGCTCCGAATACGGTACGTCGGTTTTGTTGGAGCTGGTGTGGGTTTCTTTGATGTAGTAACTTTCCTTGCCGCCTGGAGGGTGGTAATTTTCGGGGTATTGTTGGGTTCTTTTGGTGACGTTCTCCTTGAAACCGTAGGATTCCTTTACCTGCATCGGAGGCGGCGGCGGCGGGTACCCATTTTCTGTATTTTCCGTAATAGTATTAGTTTCGTTGTACACATAAGATTGATTTGTAGTCGGAGGGGACCTATCTACCCTGTAACCTGGTTGATAGTTGCGCGTCGTTATCGTTTCCTTAATTAGAACGCCACCTGTTAGGGATTTCTCGTTAGTTTGGTAGTATTGTAAGTTGGTAGATTATTAACACTTATAAGGTGATTAACTCATTAATACATCAATTAACATTTAATTTCGTTATACCTGGTGGTGTAGGTTTTTGATAAGGCGGGTAATCTTGGTACAAAGTATTCTCCTTATTTTCGACTTTGTTATAGACGAAACTCTTGCTGGGAGTCGTGATGGTTTGATTGGGCGAATACACGTATTTCTGCTCGCTGGCGCTCGAATCGTTCAACGTCAAATTCGTCGGGAATTCCCCGGACCCGGGAATCTCGTAGGTGTACGTTTTGATGGTCGTGGTCACTTTAGTGTTGCCTAAAACCCGAACGATTAATTCATCGATAGATTTCGTCTGGCAGGAATTTACCCGGAGGCCGGAGGTTCGAGTCTATGTGCGCCAATACTTCGGGGTCGATGTCGGGCTTCACCGTTTCCACGACTTCAATGGGGTAGTCGTGGATGTTGCTCACTTTGGTCTGTTTGCTCAGCGTGGAAGTTCTGGAACTGATCGCAGGCGATACGGGACGGGTCGAACGTTCCTTGTAGGTACCTGAAAATGTATTAACTTCAACATTAACACTTTCCGCTGCGGGATTGTTGGTGTGATGAAGAGTTGCGGGGTGAGAGAAATAGCGAAGGGGTGGTTTTTTACTTACATACCTTCGCTCAAATACTCTATGTCTCTTTTGATCGTCTCGCCTTCCCTCTCCAAAGTGGCTGTTTTCAAGGGAGTATCGCCGTAGTGGAGTTCTCTGTTGACCGGCTTCCTTGAACTCCTGCAAAATTATGATATTTACAAGCTTCAATTCCATTGTGCCAATATGCCGTTCTGTTACTGCGAGTGAAGGAGTTTTAGTAATAGATTATCCACTTATAGAGAGATAAACAAGAAGAGAAACTTGATACGATTAAAAGACAAAGAAGAAACTTTATAATAATATAACTTTCGCATCGCATGTGCAATCATTTTGGCAAGGCGCGTTAGTCACCGAGTTGATTTCAACAATACTTACTGATAATTTGGATCGGATCCAGTGCTATTATAAGATTCTGCGAAATGAAAAAAAAATCGTATTTTTAGAGAACGTGCGATAAACGATACCCACTTATTCGATTTGCATACGAAGAGCGAATCCTACCTATTTTCGAGAACGAAGAATTCTTCACTTGCTGCAAATCGTCCAGGAGATTGTCTAGTTGATTAATGCTATTCTGCGCTCTCAGTTTATCCGACGTTGCGTTAGAACTCGACCCGTACATGTATTTTTCTTTTTTGTACCCACTCACCGTTTGCCTTCCATCCGGACTCTAAAAGAAGCAATAATAAAGAAACTCGCAGGTACAAGGAATTAAATGATGAGACATCGGAGTAGCTATTTACCTTATAACTGTAGGTATCGTCGGAGGAGTACTCGGTAACGGGATTAGAGGACTTCAAATTGGTTATCCTGCTGAGAGAGTTGCTCCTGCCGGCGTCCAAGGTTTGAGAGGTTTCCCTGTAGGAACGGGTGGCGTTTCCATTGGTGTACCCCAAGGAACTGCCCGGTCGGGAAACGGAGTTCTGCAAGTCCTCCAAGAGATAATCTGCGATTGGAGAAATGATGTATAAAGGGCGCTTCGAAGCTCGATTTTGGGACTCACCTAAATTGTTGTCGAATTGCGACAGGTTTTGATTCGAGTGGTAGTTTCTCGTCGGCGATAAAGTTCGCATTACTTTAGTTTCTTGGTATTCTTTTCGTTCTACTGTCGACATTTTTTCGAACCATTACCCTGCGATGTGAATAGAATGGATGTTAAAAAAGTTATAAAATACAGCGTTGTAAACTAAGCAAAATACCGTCGCGACTATTTCGAGCTTTCAATAATACCCAAAGATTTTATTCGTTTCACCTTGGAATAAATTTGCAAAGTTTATTATGTAATTCCGATCTAGCAGGTTTCCACATTGATTCTGTACACAGACACAGTTTCGTCTATTCTCTATCGAATTCGATAGGAATATCTCGAGAGAATGTAGATCTTTACTGATTAATTCCTGTCTTCATTTGATTGTGAAATTGCATTCATGTTTGCAGCTACTTTACTAGAGGCAAATTCGTAATAACTACTATAAAACTTGTTTACTTTGCCATTTAAGTAAAGCAGAAAGTACTTTGTTACGTGAATTTTACCGCCCACGTTTTCCATGCAAATTGCAAACGTCGAGTTTTTCAAGAAAGAGTTAATCATCAATAAGACCAGTTCAGGTTTTTGTCATAGGTAGAATAAAATGTACGAGCTTCTAATCTGCGTATTGAAGGCGTTAAATTGGCTCTAAATTACACTGTCAAGAGTTAATAGGATAATAATTACCGGGAGGGGTTTATATTTTTGTAAATTTCAAAATTTTCATAAAATGAAAAGTTTGCAATTAGTGTGCTTTGGGTTCGAATTGCCTCATATCCTGCCCAGGTCGGTGCGTGTGATTAAAAACACTATTTTTGACTTGACATTGAGACTGGCCCAAATTTTAAAACTAACATAACGAATATTCGGAGGAAAATGTAAAAAAATATAACAAACATAGTGAAATTATTAGACGAAATTTCAATACGAGCATGTCTAAATTTAATGCGGGAAAACAAACAACTAGCCGCCCGGCTATTTTCTATAATGTTTCGGATTTTATTGCGTTTATGGATTATTTTTAGATTTCCTCTTGAGCATTAATGCTCATAATTTCACATTATTAATAGAGTTGTATTAAGGCTGTCGCGTCACGTTCTCATTGTGGAAAATGCACTTTCACGTAAAAACTATTTCGAAAGAACGTATTTTTAGAACTGGAAGAAGGCCAATCGGTTAGAAAAATGCTCTTTTTGACATTATTATCCCATCAATTTAATACTGATTAAATTCTAACAAACAAATTTCTCGTCTCCTCATCATCATTATCGATCCTTTAAACTATTAAATTCTACTGGTAACTTAACATAAATTTTTATCTAGATATTTAATGACATTGTATTGCATTTTACAATCAATTTTTCACAAGTATCGACATGACTATAGCGTGATGGCAATAAAACAAAGTAATCAAGTAAAGCGAAGTTATTTTTAAGACTGACACATATTTTGCTTAAATTTCCATAAAATATACTGATCTGTATTGCGTAGGATTTTTTAGTTAAAAAGTTAAAGATGACTTGGATCGCTCGAAATGCATCTTATTTATGCTCGACCTTCTAGCCCGTATAATTGGCCCGACTAAAAAAATTCGTTTTTGACCGATTTTTTTTTTCGAAAATTAACAAAGTTCAAGGTCAAGGCTGATCCGCAATAAAACGTGCGCCATGAATTTATTATTATTTACAACAACTACAAAAATCGACCATTTAGATTTCACGTAAGGAATTATGTTATTCGAAAAAATCGCGCATACGAGGGAAATAGAATAAGTTTTAGATACAAATTTCTGCTCATATGCACTCTCGAATGACCCTCACATACTTTTGCACCTCCGCGTTTGTTTGCTCACCGTTAACACCATACGATTCAATTACGAGGAAAAAACGGACTTTAAACAAATATCTGAATGCCCACTTGAAGCCAGTAGAGGCTTTTTCTTACAGGATTTTCGAGTCAACAAAGACTCGACCATCGTCAATGCAAACAGACGGGAGTGGCTGCTTGTTAGCGTAATAAAAATGTTACATAGTTGAAAAAATATATAAAACCCTGTATACAGGGTGTCCAAAAAGTATGGTGGAACTTCTGTTAAATTTGGACACCCGGTGTATGCTTGTATACGAGGTGGGTTCGATAAGAATTCTTATGCCCTAGAAAGTGTAGATATAAAAATTCATTCCCGATCAAGATTTGCTATCTGGATCTACATTTAGCTTCTTTTACAGATGTAAGGAGAATAGATAATTGTATATTGAAAGATTATTCCCAATAATGAAGCAATTATAGTCACGTTCCCTTGGACAATAAATGGATTTTGAAGATTTTCAATTGCGCGACACTGACCGTCCACAAAAGTAGAACCGCTCACTCGAGATATCTGGCGCTTCTATATTTGGTATGGACAAGCCATTAAAGCATGCAGATTATTTCGTAACGCCGCGGTATTTTGACCATATGTTCGTATTTGTGCGTTTTCGTCGAAGTTACTTTTAACGTAATTTTCCAGTCACGGTGTATATTTATTAGGTAACCTGTAGTTACGCACCTACTGGTCGCCGTTGGAGAAGAGGTGGATGTTTATTTGAGCCATATTTGCGCTATATTTAGAGCGAGGGAAGTGAATTTTACTTCGACTGGGTGTATCGAAATTAAAATCGTTTCATGAAGGAATTCTGGTGGTGGTCCAAGGTGGAGTTTGGCCGTAAATCAGGTCGATTTGTCACGGATGTTTTTCGACCTAGTTCCAATTACGGATGAGCATTGTTTCTAGCGTGAATCAGTTTTTTTTTCTCAAATTAATACCGCGTGGGCGTGCGTAAACCTCGAATAGAAATAAATTGGAATCGAACACGAAAGTGCACTAAATCTCTATTCAACTCGGATCTCTCGGAAATAAATTTAGACTAGGTGGAAATGTTTATTTGTTATTACTGCAGGTTTAACGTAACGCCTATTATTAATCTACATATTAGTAGCTTCTTAATGAACTAGTTGATGTATGAAGAAACATCTATCTTCATTTTATTCTTCGCTGGAATTTTATTAATTTAATGTCAGTACAATTATGTGACAACCTATAAGTAGGTAATATCATGTAATATGTAATTCTCATAAGTTTTTGGCATTGGTGGCGTTTACATTGGATTTTACAAACTAATAGTTTAAAAATATTTTCGATCGTTCGGTCCAATTTCGAATTCAAACGTTAGAAATCCTCGATTTGAACTTGATCCAATTTATCTAATGGAAGGCGAGTTTCGCGATTTGATTTATGCGCTTTATGTAAATAATTGAAACCTGTTTAATTTAGCATGTTCTGCAAGCGATTTGCGATTTTGCGCACGTAGATATTTCGTATTATGAATACATCCTATTATCGTGCATTTTGCAAATTGCCATTCGCGGTCAAATTCTTTTAATGTGCGATATTCCGAATCTGTGCTTTACAGAGAGCTCGAAATACCCCAACAACCCACCAGCGGTTACTGGGAAACAATAAAACGCCGAACAAGAATCATTTCCTCGTAAATTAGAGGGAAAAAAACCCGCGATATTACCTACTTCGGATCGAACAATCGATTCGAGCGCAAAAAGCGCACTTACCGTTTCGGTCCTGCTGAGAAATATTCCTGCAATGTGTGTGTGTGTGAGCACCAACTGAAGAAAACCACGCACGTCGCGACCGCGATGTTTGTACTAAATTTCGTGCGGATTCGAGAAGAGAAGAGCGACGCGCCGTCGTCGGATCGCCCGTGCAGACGATTCGAAATGGTTATTTCTGTTACTTAACTCAACATCGCCCAATCCGACGGCATCGCGCCGGTCCCTCTCAGCGCTCCGCAATCGATTATTCGAATCGATTCGCGCCGATAGCGGCTGGCGCGGCGTTTTTCGCTGGACGATCGATTGGAATCGATTTTTTTGGTGGATCGGCGAGTGGGCGGAAAATCTCGATCGATTATTGCGCGACGCGGCGTGGGCGAAGAATTCGGAATTGGGCAGGTATATACCGCAAGGTAGCTGCAATATACGATGTTGAGTCGCTGGTGTGAGGGCGTGAAGGTCCCCATCAAGAGCATATGGGTGTACCGAGAACTATATGAGAAAGTTTTTTTTTGAAATAAGGTGCGTTGTGTATCAGTGGGATGCATAATGTATGCTCACGAAATATAAGAATAGGCGCTTACTAAACCGCAATGTGTAGTTGTAAAAATACTGTTAATTTAGCAAGAGAAAAATGTTTGCTTCGAAGTTTTTTTTTTGGTTTATTAGCTATTTTATAAATGTAACTTAAAGTTAAAAAATACATTAATATACATTCTAATAAAATATTAATACTTCATAAATATTAGATCATATAGATTACAAGAGAGTCATAAAATATTTTGCGTACTATTATTTCCCCAAATAAAAATTTTAAACGTTTAAATCACAGGATTTCGCTTTACCAATTGGCCTAACCATAACGGATTTCGATCTCGGCACGCTGGTCAAACTATGAGCCTAAAAATAATAATAAAACACTTAAAAATTATTGCTATTTTTAGTTTTGTTATGATAATTATTCACACTATTTTCTTATGTAAAAACAACTTTTATAACGATCAAATTAGATACAAAAATGTGAATTATAGAAAGAAAATAGTGCAATATAGTGACATTAACATGCAATTATCATATTGGTACACAACTAAGCATTAAAAAATAGGTATATCCTGTTGAAATATTTCTTGTTATGTGTACCAATACTATTCAAACATGCAGTAAGTAAAAAAATTACTACAATAAAAATTACCGATGATTGATTAGATGAGCGGTAAATATCACAAAACCATGAACCCGCGAGCGGTACTACCATCAGATTTTCACGCAAACTTGGTACGTATTAACGTACTCTCCTTTATTGAAAAAATAAAAAGTTACCTCCAAATCTCTTGGAGTGCGATATTCGGACGCGTTTCGTTTCATTAGGCCGTGCTTGTATATATTGAACTTGTTCGAGTCCTTCGCCTTCGACGAGGACAACAGGATCGTTTCGGCGTCGATCTGCGTCCCGCGACGCCTGTCCCAGAATATCTTCATGAACGTCACCCGGAATTTCCTGCTCAACAGGCAGTAGATCAGGAAGTTGCAGGGCGCGTTCAGCATCACCATGAAATTGCAGAAATTTCCCAATACTGAAAAATACGAACGTTTCCTCGCAGACTGCTTGGAAGCAATTAAGAACGATACACTTACTGAGTCGTATGTTAATTTCCACGTTATTTTTCGGTTCGTTAAAGTGGTAATAAATTAGATGAACAGCTGTGGGTAAAGTGCAAATTAGAAATGCGAATATTATCCCAATCAACATTATTGTGATCCTCTTTTCGTTTCTCCAAGAAACAGTCTCCTACAAAAAATAATTTTAACTCACTTTAATTAATAATGTACATCATTGAGAGGATTACTTGGGAGTTGGTCATCACTCTTCTGGTTTTTAGCGATGAATAAACGGCCTTAACGAGGAAGAAGTTAAAAGTGGCTATGAGCAGCAATGGTAAAATGGCGAAAAACACGGCGCTGTACCAATAAATGAAATCCATGTAGGTTTTGCTCTTGCCCAATTCGGTGTTCTCCACGAAAATTTGCTTGTCCGATTCGCAACAATAAGTCGCATTAAGTTCCTCGTAAGTACCGTTCGACGATCCGGTTATTAGATTTTTCTGGTTAGTTTCGTTAGAGGACATTATGGAGTTCAAAGTATCTTCGAGCTCTTTTTCAATGGTTCTGGCAGCCTTTTCAGTTTCCTCGGTTGCGTTTAGCCGGCGATCCAATTCCGGCACTATAACCGGCACAAGAATAATGTGCGGATGGCTCGTGCAATTCGCCAAAATGTGCTTCAATTTATCCTTCACGTAGTTGTCGTAATCTTTCACATCTTTGTAGTGGAAATATCGATTCGCGGGCTCCATTCTACTGACGTTCGTCCTCAGATCGCTCCTCGCGCTGTAGCTCGTGTCGTTGAAGCATTCCCTCGTACAATTGTCGCCGGTGAAACTCAATTGGTACTCGAACGTCGTCGAAGCAGTGGTTAGCAAACAAAATATATAAACAATTACTATGATGTTTTTGGCCCGACGCTCTGTGCAGTAGATTTTTCCCTTCATCGGATGGCATACTGCTATGTATCGCTCCACTGTGAACGATACAGCCAACCAGGCCGAAGTAGCACCTAAAAGAATCACGAAAGAATTAGTTGTTTTAGGCGGTTTAATTGTACTTACTTGCTGCGTCGCACAACCAGTGGGTTAAACCGTAGAATCGCCAATACAATTCGTATTTTTTATCGTGAACGTTGGGATAGTGCTCGAAGGATAATAGAAAACCGAAGAGTAAATGAATGATGTCCGCGCAAGCCAGAGCAGATAGGTAGGTGTTGGTGGAGCATCTCATTCTTCGTCTGCAATATACTTATAGATAAATATGTACATAGATAATATAGCAGTAATTTTATTTACCTCGTTAATACCATTATAGTGATGATATTCCCGACGAGTCCCATGCACACCAAAGTAGGCACGAGTATATGTTGAATCCAAAATCTGGAATCCAACAAAACTTGGTATGATGTTGCTTCGTCTTCGTCCATTTTGTCATAGCAGACGTACTGGATTTTCTATGAAATATACAAATATTACATTCATAAAATTATTATCATCGAGTTTAACATATGCACTAATAGGTTTCGTTTGTGGTTGTTGTGGCGAAGCACGGCTTGCAAGGTGATACCAAAAAGAAAATAGTTTACGATCAATTAAACGAATTTAATGCAATTCAAGCCTTTATCGATATTTGCGTTAATTTGTATTCAAATGCTGTACGCTTTTAAAATACTAATAGATGCATCCTGCTATACATATCTAGAGTTAATAGTTAACAAACTAACAGAACAAACCTGCTGTGTTTTTCTCCATATTCAATCGACTTTGGTGAAATCATACATACACAATTTTGATGATATTTTCAAGTAAAATACTGGCATTGTTCCATTTTAGTCGCTGTTGGGCCTTTCACCTTATTTCCAACGGACTGAAGCGAAGTACAGATTTGAAACCGAACCTTTGCCAATTCTACATTATCTCGTTGGCAGATTTTTTCACAAAATTAACGATTCGAATCAAAATACTATTCCGCTCGGACGTTGGTACGTTAATTTCTCCGTTCTAATGTGTTTATTAGTTTATTTTCGTACGCCTCCCGGCGTCAACGAATTTACTGTATTATTGGAAAGTATACACGAACATTGAACATGGATTTTTTTTCCATACATCAAGCCCGCTCCGATTATTTGGCGAGTTTCGATATATTTGTTATAATTAATAACCCCAAATAATGATTTATGAAACGAGTTATCTAATCAATGTTTAGAGAGTTTAATGGAACATACGATGTAGCACTTAAATTATTATTTCATATAGTACGCACTACGACGTCAAAAGTTATTTGCAAATTGCAATTTATTATTAAATAACACCTAAATATATTGATTAATTAACGCAAATATGAATAATCTTATAGATTGCTAAGTTGACCGGAGGGCAAAGTAAAATTTAAATTAATTAATTGAGCAAACGTTTTATAAAGTAACAATATTTCGTTGGTAATATTGAATTCAAGTCGCGACTTTGCTTATAATAAAACTAATTGTTATTTGAAGCGCTACAGCGTTTCGAGTGGTTTACGATTTGTTTCAGCTCCGAGCGAATAATTTCTCTATTTTCCAAAAAATAAGATCAGCTGCGAGCGTTGAGAGATGATTTAATTTATTGACCGGCTTCAATGTTTTTTTTATCGGTCGCTCTTTATTGCTATCGTATATTTAAAACATGACAGCGTTAAAATTGCCGTTCAAATTTTATTGTTTTTTATGCTATTTTAAATGCTCCAACCTACGCAAAAATGAGAGCCGGAAGTTTTTCGAATAGTCGCTGGACGAAAAAATTGTTAAAATAATTTTCGAGAAAGGAGATTGACCTAATGGTAACTTTAAGTTTCTGCCATTCAAAGGATATATTTCGATATAAAGGTGTTTTATTAGTTTTCCACGGAAATACTGGCTTGATTGATACAAAAATAAACGAATTAAACACTGAAAACATTTATTTTGTTGATGATGATTGATATTATTCATCCTTGTTTCTTCTACCTCACCTTGCTATTTGCTATTGCTTATTTTAACTACACTGTGATACACACTTTTTAACCTCTTAAATAAAAATCTAAAGCCCTCAAATATTTAAAATAATAACCCAAATTGCATCTAATAAATAATATTAACAAATTTACACACACCAATAATAACAACAAAACTACAATAAAAATAAAACTGTTATTTTCGTATACTTACTCATTTTCTTTTGGCACCTACTTCGGATCGAATCAATGCACGGTATACAAACACGCCTCGTTCATAGTTGATTTAATTAACTGGTAAAATCTGCTGTAAAATATCGGAAAAATGCACAAAAAACCCGAGGTAAATCGGTCCAACATTCGTCTGCACAAATTCGTTACAACTAAAAGCAACAAGCCATGAGAGCGCGGCCAGAGAGCGGAGATATTTATAATTTTAGATTACGATGAGAAAATGATTTGCCGTGATAGTACGGTCTGTTTTACAATGACGCAATTTTCCGGCGAGAAAAACTCGGGCGTTCTTTTCGAAATCATGCACTTTTATTGAATTACCCAACTAAGGCGTATTGTATATTTGCTCGAAGACCGGACTCCTCTCCATCCGGACGCCCGGCGTTATCGTCCTGGTGTCCATGTGGTAGAGGAACGCCAGGAAATGCACCATCATTATCCTGCCGGCGAAGAATCCCAGGAAACCGCGCACGTACGGCCTCTCCGGGAACGTCCGGTGGATCCAACTGAAGCAATTCATACTGGCGTGATTGAACATCAGCGATCCCAACAATCTAAACACACCGATTAATTTAATCTACAATCTATAACAGTTTTCTAATTGCATTAATTACGCGAAGGCGATTCGATTTGATGGCGAGACACTTCTAAATGTAGGCCTAGAAAATATCACGACCGATAGACCGTAGACCATGTTACTCCAGAGATAACCCGCCAAGTCGAAGCCGAGATAACTAAAAGAGTTACGTAAAAAAATTAGCGGAATTCCGTAGTTTGTGGAGTACCGTATGATATGTATGATAAGTACTTACTTACGAGCTAATTTCCTGGGGAGCGACCGCGTAGATGGACATCAGGAGATAGGCGACGGTACCCTGGAGCATGGCGCAATTGTAGAAAGATATCACGAACTGCTCCCATTGCTGTTGCTCGCTCAGCGCCGTGTTCACTTCATCACCCATAGTTCGAGTTACATTGTTGCATACGATTTTACGAAATTGCGCCCGAAAATGTACTGTACATTATATGCGTGCTGGAATATGCTAGATAAATTTACGACTGCCGGCGAAATAATGTTCACGATATGCGAATTGTGTGAGAATTTTGAAAGCGATTCGGACAAATGACGGAATGATTTGTCCATGTCGTACTGACATGTACCTACACTGGTACAGGAACCTAAATTGAACCTTTACAAACATACTGTGTGTGGGTTCAGGGTGGAATCCGAAGCAAGGGAATATCTAGATCTACCCTTGTTGACCTAAACCACGACTGATCTAGATCAGCAATGGTAGATTTTCGTTTCTTTTTGTTGCCTTTTGCAGTGAGCTGTATAATACAACATAACTGGTTTTTGAATTTATTTATTGGCGAAAATGAGATCGCATATACATTTGTTCAAAGGCGATGTCTCTTAAAACTAGCACCCCGGGTATGGTTGTTCGGGTGTCCAGATGGTAGAGCAAAGCCTGGAAGTGCACCATCATGATTCGACCACAGATGAATCCACAGAAGGCCCTCGCGTACGGCCCGCCGAGACTGTAGCTGGACAACCACTTGAAACAGTTCATGGTGGCGTGGTTGAACATCAGGGAGCCCAAGATCCTGCAACGAGGCGCTCGATAAGAGCGCTGCGATAGCGAAAGTACAACTACTCACGAAACGGTCACCCTGGGGATGATTTTTACCGGGGTGAACGTTGGTCTGTTGACCAACAACACAGCAAACCCGTACAACATGTTGAACCACAGGTAGGGGTACAAATCGAACCCCAATGAACTGGAATTTGAAACGAATTGTACTTATACGGAGCAAACCACGTTCTTTAACTGATATACAGGGTGTCCCGCATAAAAGCTGACACAGATCGGGGCATGTAGCGGATGCCAAGATATGCTGTTACATTCCTGAGAAGTTATAGGCCTTCAAAGTGAAGTTAGTAACTTACAATCCTCGATAATTCAAAATTTGGCTGTATTAAGCTAACGTTGGGGTTACATAACTTATTTTAGGTACCCCTATAAGCCCCTTCCTAGTGTCGGTTGTTACGCGGGACACCCTGTATGTACTTACTTACGAGCTAAGGCTTTCAGCGTTCATAATGTAAAGGGACATCAACAGGTAAGCCCATCTTCCTTGCAGGGCGGCCGTTCGATCGAAGGATTCGATCAAATGCTCTTCGATTTCATCGGAAAGTATCACAGGGGCGGCCCTATCGCTCATTTTGCAAACGCAGGGGCTCCGCGGAGAGGATTTACGCGCCGGAGATATAAATTAAACATGATTATGACATAACTGTTGACAGATGACAGATGAAATTTTGCGTTAATAAAGAGCGATTCGGTTTAAAACAGGTTTATTAATTTTTGGTATTTATTACGCAATTACAATGAATAAAAACACTAAACTAAAAGGGTACGCGGGTTGCGTTCAAGCGTTTTTTTCAACGAGTGAATCGTTGTGTTCTACGTAATTTCGAGCGATTTTCACCAAAGCTAGTCCGGAACCGATGCCTGCGACGGTGCATAACCCCACATTTTGGGGCACCACGCTCCTTAATATAGCCCATATCAAAACTGAACCTAGCGAGAAAGTCACCGCTCCGAATGAACTGTAAAATAATTTAATCCTCTTGTTATAAATTCCGATCGTGTATCGACTTACGTTACCTGTACAAGATTTTCTCCTTCATAGGTAAAGACTTCAAATGCGGTCTGTTGTACAAATACAACCCACTGCCGATGAGGGTTTGACATAGGAGTATATTAGTCACATCTCGCTTCGAGCACACCCTGTAAACAATATTTATTGCAATATAAATTCGTAGTTTTTTTAAGTGGAGTCTTACCTGAATACCAACGACGGGTTCATGACGTTCACGGAGAGGGCGGTGTAGCTGAAGACCCCATGAGCCGGAATGTAATAATAGAGTATATTTGTTCCGGTCAAGGGTTTCAAGCCCAATTTGCAGCAGATTTGCTTTTTCGAATCGGACGACGACGAAGAGGCCATATTTAAGCGAATTTTTCGTTAAAAATTATAAAATAATATTAAATAATAATCACGGGATATTGCCGAAATATCCAAAAATAAATCCTACCTCAATTTTATTGACATACAAAAATTGAAATTTGACTTTGACGTTGACAGAGGAAGTTAGGTTATATTTTTTTCTACTCTTCTGGATTGTTGATGGACTTGAACACTTGTTGACTGCAGCTACTTATTATTGAAAAAAACGTATTTTTTACGCAATATAAATTGAAAAAGTATTGATTATTTTAATTATTCAAACTTTACATTATTTTTTACCTAATTATATCATTATAGGTTGAGCATAAGGAAGTTATATAGGTACCCATATATTTTTTTTAATTGCCAATTATCATCAGTTATTTATTATTTATTTCTTAAATTGATAGGATTAATTACTCCATGAGCACATAATTAGACTAAAAAATTGTTATGTTAATACCTTTTACTTATTTTTTTCTATTAAATAGTACATATTTATTCACTTATCAAAAGTTTTTAATCAAATTGTTGGTTTACAAAAATTTAATGCATTCTCCCGTAAAAAATCTTTCTATTTATTTGTTCTTTCTATTTATTTGTTACACCTTCTACAACTACATAACATAGATATTTATTTCAAGGAACAATTATTCAAAAATTAATTCATTTTGTCTTTATCGTATTTAATTAATTCCAATGTTCTGTTCCAAACTTCATCCGCCAAATTAGGATCCTTGGCTGTTTTATACGTATCCACAACCGAACAATATTCAAAATGCCTTCCAGAGAGATGTTCAATACCATCTTCACAGGCTAGGTATATTGTAGTTTGCGCCCCCTCTTCTGGACTCTAAAATTTACTTATTAACAATGAAATTTATTTCCTTGCTACAAAAACCTCTACATACCAAGAAAAATAACTTCATTGCTACTCTCATTGCATACATCATTGCGAATGGCAATCTTTGGACTACAATCTCCGTTTCAACGACTCCTGGATGAACCGAGAATACGCTCACTTGGGTGTCTTTGAGCAACTTCGCCAATTTTTGGGTAAACAGAATATTGGCCAATTTGGTGTTGCCGTAAACTTCATAGTCTTTTTGGTAAGTGTTTAATTCGTGTAGATTGTTCAGAGATAAAGTAGCGTATCTCGCTGCCATCGATGAGAGATTGATTATCCGACTAGGACGTGTTGATTTCAATAATTCTGCAATCAGCGGGAAAATGTCATTCAATCGAAAATCGGACGGATTTTTTTACCTAATAAACGTAGAGTGAGAAGAACAGGTCCGTAATGGTTGATTTCCCATACTAATTGCAAGCCATCTTCGGTCATATTATCGCCCAAACCCCAAGCTCCGGCGTTATTAATCAATATATCGATTCTCTCCTCGGTTTTGTTGATATCGTTAGCGAAATTGTTGATTGACTTGAACGACGACAAATCCACTAATTTCAAAAACACATTCGGATTTTTCGTTAGATTTTTAATATTTTCAACGGCAGCCGTTCCTTTAGTAACATCCCTGCAGGCCAGGATGATTTTCGCGCCCCTTTTCGCCAATTCCAAAGCCGTCTCATATCCGATACCTCAAATTAAAAATATTACAACTAACTATAAAAAAATTACATAATGCTGATAGATAATTTCTTATCTTTAGGCTTTATTTAGGACAATTGAATCTCGCTACAATGTAGGTTATAGTTAAATGCGAGTTTTACCTGCATTTCCTCCGGTGATGATAACAGTTTTTCCAACGAGGCACACTTTACTCTTACACCATTTTGTGATATATTTCATATAAAGTTTAACACACAGTACGACTGCTACAACTATAACGATAGATATGACTAACATGCTCACATTAAGCAATTTGTTAATCTCAAACTAACCGACAATTCGAATGATATAATTGAAACGTTCAAATTCCGCGTTGGTAATGCACTTCGATGTTTGTGCGTTTATTTAAACTGCAGAATGTAGATTATTGTTAATTGAATGGCGCAACAAGGACGGCTCGCTGTGTATTGATGTCGGGTATCAAGTTTCGTGTCATGGAGAGCATTTCTAAGGTTGTTTTTCACCTAGAAATTTGATAATTGCACTAGGTATTGGGATAATTTCAAGTCGAACAGATCCGTCGCAAGGCGCGCTATATGGAATAATGTTTGATGTACTTTTATTTATATTACAAATTTTCAACAAAACTGTAATTCGGATTGATAAATGTTTTCTACTACTTCACTTATTTCTATATCTTTGGTCACGTTGCGCAAAATCAGATTCAGGATTTTCTCAGACAAACTGCAAAAAGAATACCAACGTTATTGCTTAACAGAAACGCTTCAATCGAACGAATCCTTACTTAGATATTAACACCCAGGGCAAGATTTTCGTCGTCTTCTTATAAACGGGAATACTCTTGGAGTACTTTCCAAAATCCAGCTTGTATTGGATGATGTTGATGGCGTACTGCTTGGGCAGCATGGGCAACAAGCACCTGGAGGTTTTCGACGTTTTCCTCACGTTGAGCGACGTCGAGGGCTTCTGTGCGGCTTTCCCAGTTTCCTTTTCACCGTCCCCTTGGTGGTGGGCGGTTTTCACGCGACAGCCTCTCTCCAACTCGGCGAAATTGTCCGCTTCTGCCGGCGAGTTGCGCTTCAAGGCCTCTTTACCTTGTCTCACTTCCGAGCAGAAGATCGGTGATCTACAAAAAATATCATAGAATGTAAAGGAGCATCTACAAAATCATAACTCTTTCGATTGTATGTAGGACATTCGATAATTTATTTCTATCCCAATAATCGAATTCTCGCAATTGGACGTTAATTAAACACTACCAGCGGTTAGTTTAGTTGAATATATGCACGGGTTTTTACCATTCCGCTCACGCTTTCGACGTTATTAAAAATATTTGCAATACAAAAATCTAGTTGCTCGTCGCATCTAAGCCCATAAAAGTTAGCTGTATTTATTATTGCAAACTATTTTTAAATTATGACACGGGCGTACGCACATTTAAGGACGCAATTTCTACAATTGCAACTTATTAGCGAGTAACCTTATAGGCAATGATAATAAATTAGCGAACGAATTTGTTTCGGTGTAACAGTTTTCGCGCGGCGCTCTGTATAGTGCGGTGTTATAAACAATTATTGTTTTTTTGTCGGTTCGGAATCGTAATTGTTACCGAAGATAAACATCTCATATTCCTTTTTGCATCCGCTCCGCGCTCTAAACGCTAAAAAATGGTAAGTTGTAGCTCTTTTACGATTAAACTTTAAAGTTTCATACGAGTAGCGTTATGAATTTTAATTATTGGAGAAACAAATTGATTGTTCAATTGGTATTTCATTGTTTTATACACAGCCCACTGTATTACATAAAACGAGCATTTAATTGAATTAAAATTTTAATTTTGTCTATTTTCGTACGCATCCTCAACGTTAAATTGGGTATGGTATGAGCATATTCAAGGCTGTATGCTATATACAAAACAAATCCATGCATTCATAGTTTTTTTCCACATAAAATTTTGTCATTTTCCTTGCAGGGAGCATCTTGTTGTAAGAGTGGCGATCAGGTAAGCGATCAAAATAGAATTCGTTTACATTTTATGCATGAAAATACAGCGACCGGTCTATTTTTACATTTTATAGAGTGATATTGTTGTAAAATCTGAGAGTGGTCAATTATTCTTAAGAGTCTCTTAAATCATCAACTCTTATTAGATTCTTTTATGTATTCTAATATTTTACAAATAATTTTAATTAAGAGGTGCTAAACAAATGCAAATATTTCCTCAAACTCGAGTATATATTTAGATATTATTTAAGGTAAATATTTGTTTTAAATTACGTAGGGTTTAATTTTTTTTAGGAAAGATTACCCAATATTTTTATCTAAAAATCCACAGATAATTAACCAATTTTGGTGTTGTTCGAAATTTAAGCCTATAAAACATTCAACACACCAAAATAAATAAAAAATAGGATTAATGATGGTTCTTTATTGTGGGGATATTGCCGATTTTATCGCGTTTTTTTTTTATTTTTAATCATTACGGCGAAAATGAATCCTCTGTCATAAAATCCATTGCGCCCGTTACCACACTGAAAATATTTGGCAATAACTTAATAATATTCGGATCGATCTTTGAGATTTTTTCATATTAAGCTATAACTTACAAACTGAGAACAGCTTATAGATTTTTATCATTTTTTCGTATACGTATTGGGAAACCCTCTTTATCTTCAAAATCGTCAAATTTTTGATATGCATGCGTACTAAAAAAATCTTGTAAAATTAGTTTATAAATAGCTGTTACCTAATTTCACGATAAATAATTATTTAATTGACTTAATACCTTATTACTCAATGTTCTATAATTACCTACACCTGCCAAATTAATCTAGTTATTCCTAATACCTAACGTACCGCATGGCATTACTGATTACTGATAAGCGCCCGATGAGATCATATGCTCATATATTTATTGATTTTAAGCACTTATTGTAAAACACAAACGTTTCGATCGTGCACTCGAAAAATATCGCTCTATGCGTTAAGATAAAAAAAATTCGGGCGAAGAACAATATCTCTGTAGTAAAAGGCCAAATAATGGTAAGTGTATATTAATTATTGCATTATTTCACTCGGTTCTTAAATAAATCGCATAAATCGCCCATGAAATATAATTTACGGGCTGTATTTTTAAAATATGCCACAAAAATAGTTTGCTCAAAATGTTTGATTAATTTCGCATGAAAAATATTTGAGTATCGAAACTAAAAATATTTTTTTTAATTTATGAAACAATTAATAAAAAAGTTGCGATAAAAATTGATGAGCCTAATTTAATAGGTATACTTCTACTTGAATTACATACATCAAGTAACTATACAAGATTTTTTTAATCTTTGCACGATAATGGTCCTAAAAAAAGAAACTTGCACAATATTTTTGCGCGTAATATTTAGCGCGATTGAAATTTTTGCAATCAATTTCCCGGATTTACAGCTTGTATAAAACGTTAAAATCTCGTTGTTCTCGCAACCGGTACGAAAAACTATCAAACAATCGATCCGAAAAAGAAAACGCCCGATGTACAAATCCCAACGGTTCGTTTTCGAAAACTAAAAATACCAGCCGAGAGAGACGCACAAAATGCACGCAGTCCAATTTTTCGCGAAAAATTTCCAAACGATTTTCTCTCTTCGTCCCGTCGACCTGACTCCGACTATCTCGGGTACGCGTCGATTTTCCATTTCGATAACTTTCCAGTTCAGTTTCGAATTTCAGCGCTTCGCGTGCGGGTGAGGTAGAAAAAAATTTGTCCGTCGCCGTTTCGGTCAGAAATTATAAACCCCGATTCAAAATGGTACGTAAGAAAAAATAAAACTCAGGTTTATTAAATCTTGATCTAACAGAAATTCAAAAATATCGTCAACAAAATTTTCAAATTTTTTGAATTTGTGTATTACTAACTTTTAAACATTTTTTAAATTTTTCAACTGATTTTTCGTATAGATGTTTTAGCAAACAATTTTCCAAGTTAAATTTTCTATAATATTAACTATTTTTCACTACTTTCAAAAATTATAAAGTGCTCCAATAATAGAAGTAAAAAATTTACAGAGTGGTAACAAACAATTTTCAAATTCTACTTGGATATTACAAAACAGTTCATCATTTAATTCACTCTTACCGCATGACTTATATATTTTAGAAACCACCCTGTAGGTACGCATATGTTATTATTGCACTATCTGAAATTGATGACCGTGCTTAAGATTTGGCAACTTTTCAGGTTTTCGATTATCCGAGTAGTTTGTTACCCGAGATTATAACATAATATACGTGGGACTATAAGGGAATCGTGTGCAAAGTAACCCAAAATAGTTGTTGGGAAAATCGAGTTGACGAAATTGACCAAAATTGGAAATTTCTATTTTTCGCGAATTGTACTATTTCTTTATTCAAAACTCATTACGTTTGCTATTTAAACCGGTCATTTTAATTGTAATTCAATTTCAATACAGAGATCCAGATCAGATACTAACGAAAACCACCTGTGGTCTATCGAAAATGTACAAAGGACTGTTTACTTTTACTCGGGACGTCAATCAAACAGTTTTACCGATAAACCTCATTATCGAATACCAATCAACGCCCACACATTTTCCAAAGTTTTCCACCAAACGTGGGCGTGCGCGACACACACACAAACAAGTTTGGACATATTCCAGAAGTCGCCAGCCGCTCAAATTACAACACTTTCCAAATTAATTACCTCCTTCCAATTAAAGAAATAAATTTATACCCACGTTTTTCGTTCGTTGCCTGCATTTCGAACATTTTCCCCGCTATCCACGATCTTCAATTCCAGTATCTCCTTACAGCTGGTATCCGATTGGAGCTCCTTCAGTAGATCGTTCATGGATTCAATGCCGGGGTTCTTATTCAACTTCTCCAACATCCCCATGATTTTCTCCACGTCTCTGTCTCTGTACAAACGCACAATTATCATTATTTCGTTTGATATCGATAGTAAAATTATCAACTGGCTGAAATACTGGAAGGAGCTAGATAATTTGCCAGTCATTAGGAATTGGTAATTTTCTTAATTTAATCAATTGTTAGTTACGCCTCGTTCGTTAAACGTACCTCTTGATGTTTTCCTCGCTATCGTTGTCCTTTTTTCGAGCGTTGATATCGACGACAAGCTGGAGTAGTTTCTGTACAATTTCCACGATGTTAACCTGCTAAAAATAGATAAACAAATCGATAATCTAGTCGTAAAATTTTTGCCGAGGTCCTTTCAACATTTCTGCTGGAATTAATCCATAAAAGGATGAATTGAGAGAGGTCGTTTGGAGATTAAGATATTGCTCCGTAAACGCCCGACTAATTTTTATTTAACGAGCCAGATTAATTGGGTTTTGTTTCCTGTCGATGATTTCATTCGTTTCATTAATGTATCGGTAGTTAAATTTATATTTTTTATTGGTGTTTTAGAGTACTCCAGCTAGCACCGAACCAAAAACCTGCGCCAAATGCAAGGAACAAATTAAAGGAGGAGTAAGTAGTTTGTTTGGAAAAAAAAATAAATTAAAAAGAGTGCGTTTTAGTTTTTGCTATTAATTCACTAATATAGTAATTTTGTTAATTTTATAGCTAAGTTTGTTTAAAATTTTAAAGCCTCGCAAATTCGAACCGAGGACTCGAGATAATAATTAGAAATCTTTAATCTTGAACTCGATATGAAAATTATGCAGTCCTCGGTTTTGAAGAAAAAAAAAATTACTAACGCCGACTTGCAGGTACTAACAGCCTTAGGAGAATCGTGGCATCCGGACCACTTTTGCTGCAACGAATGCAAAAATCCGATTACCGAAACCAAATTCCACACTAACGAGAACAAGCCCTACTGCACGCCCTGCCACGTAAAGCTTTTCGCTCCGACGTGTCACGCCTGCGACAAACCCATTCTGGACGTAAGTGCCTTTTTACCACACGCATTCAGACAATCTACAGAGCTATTACAGACAAATCCAAATATTACTACAAAAAGCACTTATTCGCGATAACGCAGCCCCGTGTTGCTTCGCGTGCAATCCATTATACCATTACAAAACGCGAATCCCCAATTCCCCAATCTCATAAATCTCTATAAATCATAGAGGCGTGCCTAGCCTAGAGTTTGGGTTTTAATTGTCGCCTATTTTTAGAAATGCGTCCAGGCGATGGGCGCCAACTGGCACGAAGACCACTTCGTCTGCGAGGACTGCAAGACGAAATTGATCGGACAGCAATTCATGGATGTGGCCGGCATACCGCGCTGTCAAAAGTGCTACTTGGCCAAGCACGCCGACAAGTGCAAGGGTTGCGGTAAGGCCATACCGGACAAGGCCATCGTCGCTTTGGACGCCAAATGGCACCAAATGTGCTTCAGATGTTCCGTAAGTTTTTGTGCGAATGTTATAATTTTTACAAATCATCCCTTAAATGTCGTTCCTACTTCTTTGGTTCTTGTATCAATCGTTTGTTGAATTGAGACTAAAGAAATAGGATATACGGAATGATTACTCAGTATATTTTGTAATGTTTTATTGAAAAAAAATTAGTTTTGAACTGTCTATTGTTCCAGTTAAGTGTAGAGTAATTAATTTTGAAATGCATTCATCGATAATTTATGAGGATGGAATGAATCAAAAATAAACTCGAAGCTATTAATAAATGTGCAATTTTTGCTCTCAAAATTATTAATATGTCAGTTCGACGATTCTCAGATTTTATAAACATTCTCGAAACTAAATTTAACTGCAGATACCAACTAAAAATAAGTGATTTTGGCCCGATTTGAATAAAAAAATCAAAGTAATGACACTTGGCAATAGACGTACAATAGTTACTGCAACACCTGTTATATTATTTGTAAACATTTTTATTTTCAACTAATTTGTGCGATTTCGCTTTTCCAGAAATGCTCCAAACCGATCATGAAAGACCAATCATTCCAAGTAGAAAGCGGCAAGCCCCACTGTGTCAAATGCTAAACCAAAATCGCTTCCAATCACGATAAAATAATCACTATTCATCACAAAATAAAACAGAAATGACACACACACAGTCCGTTTTTTTTACGTTATTTGTTTGTTATTTTCTCGAAAATTAACTCGCTTTATATATTATATTACGTTGAAATAAATCTTTTTCGCTAATACATGAAGAGTTTTTGTAACTAACATTCACCCTCTAAACCTTTAAAACACAATACAGAACAATTACAAGGAGTAAATATTACACAAGACAATGAAACATTGGGTCATCGAGTCATTGGGGAAATTGAGTCATTGGGTCGTTGAGTTATTGGGACATTGAGTCATTGGGACATTGAATCATTGGGGTATTGGGACAAATAGTCAATTTGCTCACCTCTCCCTTTTTGTTTTCGTCTCGTTTCTCCTCGTCCTCGTTGGCGTCGGTTCCGATTTTCTCGCCCTCCATCTGTATCATGGTGGCGACATCCTCGTCGTTGAGGGCGGCGTACGTGGAGGGTTTCTTGTAGAGCTTCTTGGCGCCCAATTTGGGCTGCAACTCGTGGGCGCTCGCGTTCTCCGATTTACGAACGATGGGCGGCCGGTGTTTGAAGCCGGCTGTCTTGTAGCGCGATTTGATCTGTTTGCTGGGCGTAAAACATATCAAATAGAATGGAAAGGTGACGGGGGTTGGTGAGTAGAGACCTTTTGCCTTGATTCAAGGCGTCGGCGGCGAGTTTCCACCTCGGTTCTTTCCTGAAGGTCGTCGAATTGTACATGTAGAGCCTTTCGGGAATGGTGTTTTTCGATTTCTTCGGCTTGGTCATTTTAGGCACGGAGTTCAGTCGAATTTGCGTCGGCATTCTGTAATTATTCACGGTGAAATGATCGTCTATGGTTTTTAGTATCATCTCGGCGTTGCGTCTAAATGTCTACAATAAAGTCAATCAATAGGGGCATACAACTTGTTAATATCACCATACAATTATGAAATCCTTGTAGTTTCTTTCGTCGTCTTCGGGCAGGACCTTGTAGTGTATGTCGCAGATGTCCAACAAATGCTTCATCAGCATCTTCAGCTTGTCCGACGAACAGGCGCCTATCGAAGTAGGCAAGTGGTTTTGATAGGCGTGCAACCCGTTGTAGATCACTTGATAGGCGGAGAGGAACTTTTGATTGAAGCCTTGCTGCATGGCCTTCAGCTTGCTCAATTCGTCAATCTTTCGAATAAAGAAATTGAAAGTGTTGTTAGGTAAAGGAAACTTGTTTCTAGAATACCTGTCTGACGAGCGGGTACAAATAATTTCTGGAAAATCGATTCGAAAATTCGGTTACTCGCAATTTCCGCCTGGAAACGTCTACATCACCGTCCGGCGGATCAATCCCCTTGTCTATAATATGACTGAAAACCAAAATCAACATCATCTCCACAAGCAAAATCCTGATTGGGTCTCTCACCAAATGTCCCCGATCGATTTGACGCTCTTCTCGATGAAAATCTTGAACTTCTTCTCGAACACGTCGTCGCTGAGGTCCTTCGTGAGGCACTCCTTCTGCGACTGGTTCTGGCTCGGCTGTTGCAGGTTGCTCGCCGACAGCGCGATCTTGCTGTCGAACATGTTCAGGCGCGCCTTGAAGTCGTCCGCCTTGGTCGAAACGAACGAGTTCTCGAAGGTGTCGCCGATGTCGGCGTCGATGCGCTGGGGCACGCTACGCGCCCTCGTCACGCTCGTCCATTTCTTGAACGTCCTCTTCTTCGCGTGCTCGGATTTCAACTGAAAGCAGTTTGTGATTGTTATGTTGCCCAGCAAGAGACCGGGAAGGTGGTAGAAGATGGAGACCAGGAGTTGTTGGGTGACCAGAAAGGTCGATTTAGGATCGTTGGCGAGTACTGGTGAATAGGGTATGGAAGATGGAGGTCCTCTCCTGGTGGAAACTGGTGTACATCAGGATTTGTAGAGGTGTACTCCGGATAGGTTGATTCTTGATGATTCCTGGTGAAAGTGCTGTGGAAGGGAAGTGCAGGAAACAGCAGTAGGTACCTTTTCTGATAAGTCGAAGCTGCTGATGTTCCTGGGCGAGATGGATGGGGTGGTATCGAAGGAGCAATTCCTCGGGTGCGAATTGAATTTTTCTATCGCGACGACGCGTTTTTCAACTACTTGCTCGCTGTTGTGTCTGTTGAGAGAGAACTCTTGTTGCAGTTGCTCGTCCAATTTCCTCTTGACATCTTCCAGTCGCTTCAGGTATTCCTCGTTGTTGATAAGAGTTCTCTGCAAAACGAAACTGCGTTAGTTTTAAACAATTTTACCGATGTCTCTTTCGCTTTGGGAGCAACTTGGTGAAAATCTTGATCGACTCGCTACCGGTACGTACCTCGCTTATTTCGTGCAATTTATTCATAACAAACACTGTGAGGTGGAAAACTTGTCCGGGGTCGTATGAGAATCGTTGAGCGAATTATAAAAGATGTAAAAAATGTTACAGATCATTTGTCAAATAATGTTCAACTTCAAAACTTAACACGGCAACCGCGTGTTTGTAGTTGTGTTGAGTCGTTGCTAGGCGACGGGGGCGCGCGTGCGCTATAGTGCGGGATCGAAGCGGAACAGTTCGAAAATGAGTTAAAATTTTATGGAATTAATGCGGTTTTTGAGCGAGTTTTCGGTGCGATTAGTTGAGATAATGTCGCGAATGTTGTTTGGTAACGATTAATGGTGGTTTTAACTGGTGGTATTGCTAGAGATGCCAGTAGGAAGAAGTGCTTTTGCTACCGCACTATCGTAAATGTTGGGGTCGTTGGATGGAAGGGTCTTCTTAGATTTGTAGCATTTTTAATAAACGCACAATGGTCGATTTTTACCGATTATTTAGCGACTTTTGAATTCGACGCGTTCGAGGACAATCAATCTTCCCGACCAAGATGAAACATTTGGGATACGCCAGAAGGAATATTTTAGCGGAACACAAAAAAGTGCCTTTGAACAATATCATTTTACCGCCTCTTTCGCCATCGTTTCCCGACGAACAATTCGCTCAAATGGGAAAACAATTAGTAAGTACAACAATCATTTTAATTCATTCATTTGCAGTACGTACACATAAAAGTTTCAATCAATGCGCTGGGTCATTTGTTGATGCTAATTGCACGGTTTGTTTGTATCGATTCGAATAATGTGGCGGTTGAATGTCGTTAACCTTTCTAATTAAATGCTCCAGTAATGTATAAAAAATATCTCATTAGAGAAATTGACAACAAAATTTTCCGTATTATTTCAATACTTTAAATGCAAATTCCATTTACAACAAGCCTAAACGATATTAATTAGCACTTATAATAATGAGTGCGATAAATTTGGCGGCCCCTGTATACATCAAAACGACAATTGCGGTAAGAAAAACTCCCTAAACATAACCAGCGATCCCATTGGACATTCGCGATATTCCGGCGAAGCCCAAATTGCGAATGAGCATGTCAAAACGTGAAACGAATCAATACACAGACGCGTTTTCCGAGAGCGTCGCGACAAAAGAAAACCGCCGGAAAACCCGTCTGCGATTAAATCCGTTCCGACGTACCAACGCCTTTCTGTTAAAACGAAAATCGGTAATCGCGTTGATAGATTTTCGCGGTGAAAATTCCCTGATAGATTTTCCCGTTGTGTGTATGCGTGTTCGCCGGCGGCGCATCGTAATGAACGATTAATTGCGTTGTTGGTTAAAAAACCATCAGTGACACGGCTAAATATAAACGCGTAAATGCTCGCTTGATTCGGGCATCGGCCGATAGGAAATCGTCGATTGTCGACGAAGAAGACGGGAGAATCCCTGCGATGGCATCCAAAGTCATGGTGAAGATACCTGTCGCTCCGTTCGGCAAGGTAAGAGCCTACACCGTAGGTCAGGTTCGATTGCAATCGCCCCCCCGGCCGTTTACCGCACGGATTTTCCTCGTTGTAGGTGAACAAGAAATCCGGCAACGGCGATTTGGTGGTGCAAACGCGCCCTTCGGAGACGCCAGCGAGGCCCGCCGACGTCCAAAGGAGCCCCGAGCAATGCAGGATCGCCCAGTTGGAGCAGAACGTGAAGTTCCTGCAGGAGCAACACCAACTCATGCTCGTCGGGTTGCATAACGAAATCGAGAAATTGAGGAACAGAAATAGGGGTATGCGACAATCGACGTTATCGCTAAACGAATGAATGAATTTCGAATTTTTTTAGAGCTTCAGTTTCAATTGATCTTCAATCAAAAGTCCCCTTCGATCAGCTCGGCGTCCTCACCCGAAGAAGACCTCAAGCACAAGGTAAATATTTACACTACCAATTCTGAAAATTCTTATGCTTCTTATTTGTACCAAAATAAGGTGTATTCGAGTCCCACGACGTTGTTCAACAAAACACCATTGCAAGTCGAGATCCTAGAGAAGGAGCTCGCCGAATTGAAGCTCCAATCGCAAGAAATCGAGAGCAGGAACACCTACTTATCGGCCATCGTCGACGAGCAGAAGAAGTAAGTAACAAACCATCTTCATAGGTTTTCGATTACCATCATCCGATCGTCTCCGCAGGAAACTGGAACGGTACGAGCGCGACCGCGAGAAGGAGCGCGAGCGCTCCGGCCAGCCGGACCCCGAGTTGCTGCGCAAGCTCGACGACGCCGAGGCGATCATCCGGCGGCTGCGTCGCGAAAACTCCGACCTGCGCCGCGACGGCCCGAGCGGGCAGTGCTCGCCGCGCGACGTTTCGTTCGTCCCTCATCAGAGGAGCGCCGAGAACGGGTTCCCGTCGCCGCGCAACGGCCATCACTCCGGCAGAGGGCGGTATAGGGGCGGCGGCGGCGGCGGCCACTACAAGGGCAACTGGTTCCCGCCGTTGCACTCGCAGAGCTACTGGCAAGGTATAGGAGTGCTGAGTTTTGGTATGTACTAAAGGGGTGTGTTTGTGTTTGTGTTTTTAGGGGGTCGAAGGGGTGAGAGGTCGAACGCGGGTGAGAACGGGGGCGGGTTGCCGAGCCTGCAGGGGCCTGATGGACACTACCAGAACCGGAGGAACTCCAATAACAACCACTACAACGGCGAGTCGAGGAAGTACAGGGGCGGGCAGAAGAACGGCGGCAAGCAAACGTAATCTGGCTATTTACAACAAACAAATCTAATCGTTTAGATGCTTATAAAGGCTGTCGTGTTTATTAAATAATTTGAATCTATGTTGAACTAGGAGAACCCTCCCAGATGGCAAAAACTCGAAGAATTATGAGACAGAAGATATCACACTGAAGGAGGAGCGGAAGAATTGGATATGCGAGATGAATAATTTTAATTGCTAGATTTTAAATATGAAAATAAATGTTCATTTCATATTTGAAAGGAAGTGGTTAAAACGATGTTAAAAATCGATACTTGATACCAACCGATGAGATTGCTTTTCCCACCTGGGCCAATTAGACATCGCAAATTATAAATATTACAGAAAACTATCAATATCTAGATCAAAAATGTTCGTAATTTGAAAATTTCCTCGTCATTTACGATAGACCGAAAAATAGAAAGTGGGCTGGAAGGTGCCAAAAAACCAACGGGCAATTTTTTTTTCGGAAAATGTGCGACTCGTATTAATATTGCTTTAATTGTGATATTTCATCAAAGGTAAATTATAAATATATTACACACTTCACACATAATTTTACTGCTATTTTACTTACAATGTGCTGAAGCGAAAAGGATCGATTTACACTCTAAACTGGGTAACAATTGCAATAATTTTTCTATACCATGCACTTAGCAAATTATACGTTGCATAAATGCATCTTCCATCTTAACGGGTTTTTACAAGTTGCTTGTTATAACATACATACATATTGTGATTTCACACGTACTCGAATGTATTTTATGTATCCATATAATCATTTGTGTATTTAGATACTACTAGGGATGTCCGTGCAAATTTTACCAGAAAATAATAAATATTGGGACATTCTGTAGGATTGTAAAAATATTATACGGGTTCAGGTTGGATTTTTTTTAAGAATTAATGTCTTATTCTGATTTAAAGAGAACTCTAAAATATTAAATACGAACAATTGGTAATTCGATGTGCGGAAACGGATGAGTTTAATATTAATTCTTAAGAAAAATATACATATAATAAAAAATATATGAGATACAATAGAATTTTTAACAATTAATAATGTTAAATTAATTGTTATACATTTTGATATAATGTAAAATATAAATTTTCTGCCTAAAATATAATTCAAATTATCTGTACTGTTGTTGAAAAGTTGATAAGTATTCCGTAAAATTATTTAAATGTCTGTGCCCTGCGCTCATAGTACTTTTACTGAGAGATCAAAAAAATACTTTTTTTCTCAAACAAAATTTCGCTTATTTCTGATTTCGTAATTTTTTTATCACTCAGTACCACTTAAAAATTTATTATAACTCAATTCATATTATAATAGTTCTATTATACGATGCACTACAAGGTGTTAGATAATCTACTTATACGATATATAACTACAATTTATTTTGTGTGTTTCTAGGAAATATTTTTATATTCCTTTAGTTAAAATTAATTATCAGAAAAATTGTAATAATGTTTCTTGATCTAAAATATATCTAACTGGTATCACGGTAGTCATTTCATTTCACCAACCTGCAATTCGTTAAATTCAGAGTTATAAAGTGCATATCGGCAACGTTGTCAAAAACTTTCTATCGCAGAAATACGATATGAGTATAAAGCTATTAACGGGAGTTTTCTATAAGCAATACAGTTAAAGATTTGTTAGAGCTCCGATTGTGAAATAATTAAGCGAATTAGTTATTATTTGTTTTATTTGATTGATATTGATTATAGTAAGGATTGTGAATTAATTTCCGTGTTTGTTATTTTACGGTATCGTAACTTTAGTCACTGATGAAATGTGTGTACATAGGATATCTCTTTCTAATATACGATATGAGAAAAGGATAGGCAATTCCCATTCATGGGTGATATGACATTTGACTTTGGTGACGTGACAGTGACAGTTTTAATTCTCAACAGATGTGTTTTGAGTGCGTTATTTTTTTATAAACCACAAAAGAAAATTTAAATAAAATACACCGGATCCTTAAAAAGAGTAAGTTTTTGTTAGTAAAATAAAATTCGATATAAAGATAGTAAAAGTTCGCTCTAGTAAAAAATTGTATGTATGTTAATATGAATGAAATTGACTTCCACTTCTTCATTCTATTAAAAATTCAACGTTGTCACGTGTAGAATTTTTGTTATATTTTTAATAACCATATTGATAAAAATATTTTCGGAAATTTACCGGAAACTCAAGTATGTTATTCCAACAAATGTAAATATTTATTAGTGATTAGATATGTATATTTTGTTGATTATATTTACGAATGTACTTATAAAATAATATCGCGAATTTTTATCTGTTTTTGTCTCATTAAAATTGAGAGTACTGTTGAAAATTTCTTCAGTTTAATTACAAGCGTTTAATGGTAAAAAAGTGCTTCAATGTGTACAGTAATAATCCATTGAATTTCAGATTGTTGAAAATTTAATCACTGTTACTTTTCAGGTTAATTAGGAGCTGACGAGTAAAGGGGAATTAGTTAGGATTTTTCGAGCAAACGTTTCGACAACGCCGCAATTCATCAGGTGATACGTCGCGCACGCGCATCTCGGTAACGTGTAACGGACGCGCCAACATGGAATTCGTACGAAACCGGCTCGAGGGCCGTCATTTCACGCTAAACTCTCCCGAAATTAGGTTAGTCACCTTGTGCCGGCCATGCCGTCCGAAAAAATAGAGAAAGTTGTTATGAAACCCTTCAAAATGGATCCGATGCATTCGCAACAGGAGCTAGTTAGGGACCTAGGGCGCGAGAGGACTTTGCGTGACGTTCATTTTCGCGAGTGGGTCGTCGTTTTCATATTGTGTTTCGTCAATTTGATCAATTACATGGATAGATTTACGTTGGCAGGTGAGTGATATTGATATTCAACGATTTTCTGCACCTGCTGTACTATCGTTTTCAATGATTTGCGGTACTTTTCATTCAACTTTTTACAATCAAACTTTTGGCTTTCTCTTCTAATTTTTAATTCATTAAATTTCAGTGCATAAAATCATACCATAAATGAAAGTAGGCCTAAATAATTCTGTTATGTTCATCTAGACTAGTGAAATTGCTTGAGGATGTTAATTATCTTCAATTAATTTATTTTTTTAACATTTTACTGTGATCTCCAAATTTCATTAGTAAAATGTTTAAAATAAAACCAATTTACAAATTAGAATTATCAGTTATATCTAATCATCCTGTAGATCCTACTTCTTTGGGTTTTTTTATACCACAATATTGCCTAAGCGCAATAAATAAATTAATCGTTATGCAAAATTCGAAATAAAAAAATCTTGCATTTCCTCGTAGAAAATTATTCTACTTAATAAATTTGACGTGTACGGCTATTATTATCGCGACACAGCTGCTAGCCCCTTTGAAACGACACGCGACAATGACACCTACAGAAATAATTAAAAAAACTGGAATATCTTCAAGTCTGTTCCGCTTTTAAGCGTGCTCGAAACTCCCGATTTATTTTTGAGTAAACGGAACAATCGACAATGGCCTTTTTCACGCCAAAAGAACAACAATATGGGCCAACAAACTTCTCGAAAACCCAAAAGAATGGAGTAACATAATTAGACATTAATATGAAATGAATGAATCTGAAAGTTTGGTCGAAGTTCTTGAACGCTTCCTCGTCTACATTCGCATAAAATAACGAAAGAAATGAAGTAGCACCGGCATTATTTTCCGCTGATTTATCTACAGCATTATCTTAGTAGTTGTACCAGCCGTATAATGGTATATCCCTTAGTCGTTTCTGGGACTCGCGGAGCCATAAATCCTCGACGAAGAGGAAACGTGTACGCTGTTAGGAATACGCTCGGCTTATTATTAGGACACCCCGCGGTCTCAAAAATGAGCATGCAGCATCCATGTAAATTAAATTCCGTCGGGTTTCTACGGTGCATGTATAGAAGGAATACATCACGTTGTTTTCTCGTACTGGTTATGGAACTGAAAGATATCGGGGGGCGCGATTCGAATGAATAATATACAAAAAAAATCTTACAGGTCTTTTGTCCGTTTGAGACGCGAGATTTTGATTAATGTTTGAAGGGTGACCTGCGTGGGTGCTTTTTTTTATCACAAACGCTTGTGGGTTTTTAAATATTTCAGTAAATAATAGTACACTTTATTTGCTATTGTATTACTGTTGTGAAATTGGATTCGTGTTTGTGTTATATTCGAGTTGCACAAATCTCGAATTTCAAAATACACCAAACAACGGAATATTAATATGTAAATAATTTTATATGCAATTACATCTTATCGTTCTTTCATAAGTGGGCTTTGAAAGGCTCTCGACCGAAGTGCCTTTTAGCTTATATGGAAAGAATCTGGTAGAGCTTAATGCGAAAACGGTCGGTTAAATGCAGTAAAATCCAAAGCGAGTGAAGTGCATTTATTTCCAATAGGCGTTCCAAAAGCACGGTAAATGTTAATAGAATTCTTGCGAATAACCAATAGCCTTCTGACATTTCTAAAGTAGAAATGATAATAAATCTAACGGAATGAAAGAGTAACAATAAAGCGGGGTGGTGCTCGATCAGGAAGGCTATTTAATCACAAAAATCTACAATCGGTTAAATCAAACATCCTGCGATTCAATAATTTATTTGTTACGATATCAAAAGTATAAAGCTCGAAATATTTGCACCATATCCTTTATAATTATATAAACAGGAATTTTCCTTGCATTCTTTGCAAACCTTCAATCAACCAAATAACAACATTAATCCGTAATAATATGGAAGTATTTCCCTATTTTTGAAGTACATAATTACTTAAATTATCCGAAGAGAAAGTTAATTAGTCAATATCGCAAATATCCAATTAGCGATTGCATAAACACCATATTCCGGTAAACCTTTACAGCAAACGACCTACAAAAATTCACTAATCAATTGCTTATCTGTAGAAATTCGCTAACGTAGGACGCTGAGCTAATCAATTAAGTAGACTACTAATTTTATCATAGATTTTAGACATCACGCCACGGGAAAATACCGATAAACGTTTAGCGATAGTGCAAATTATTTTATTAGAGCGCGCTTTTTAATTGCAACACAATTTTATTAGGAAATCTTTCCAGTTAAAGGACCCAAAAAGAATAAATTGTTTGTAAATATTTGATGCACGAGTTCACTCATTTTTGTTGTTAAATTGATATAAATCAGAAAATACGACGTTAATAGCATATGTATTATAAATAATATACGATAAATTTAAAAAAAGCATCAACAACCGGCATCAGTGTTTATTAGTGTCATTGACCAATTTTTAATATCCCCTTTTATCGGCTAGTCGGAAATGTTTATAAAATGTTTATAAGTGTTAAGAGGAATTAAGCTCGTGTGAAAAGCCCTATTGTTGAATCGGACATTTCTATTAAGGGCCAGTGATGAAATGTTTTACAGTCGCATTTAAAAGGCACAAATACGAAATGTCAAGAACTGACATTCATTGCATTTGACATACTTCAAAATAAAACCAATAGAGCATCTATCAAGTAGCCTTATATTTATTTCCAATATTAAATTTTATCTCTCACAACTATTTAAAAAAAATCGAATGCATTTACCACACAATGTTATCGATGCACTAAAAATACTTAATTGAATCTATTAAATGCTAAATTGAAACATAAATCATGATAGCGCATACATTATTCGGGGAATAATAGATTTAACCGAAAAAATACAAAATTAAAATTCAATTAGCACTTATCGTTTATGTATGCGAGTATATCGTGACCTTCTCCTCGTGGTGTCATAAGAGTAATTAGACTGATGTTCCTAAATAGATAACTTCAGTTCAAAAAATGCGGCGCTATCAAATGAAAATTGTTTGTAGAAATATATGCACTTAAAATGGATTTTTTTAACTGAAATAGTTCACTTTAAAGCAACTTTTACAATGTGAGAGCTAGACTTTTATAAAATCAACATAATTCAATTTAATCATCTCTGAATAATAGCTAATAAGTAATACTTTTTTTTATAACGGGAAACTAAATTATATTATAATTGAGCTTGGATAACAGGTGATGGTTCATAGATAATTGCATGAACAATAAAAGCGCAATTAATCGTGGATTTATAAATTCATTACACAGAAACTGTTTACATATTTTTAAATACATTAAAACGTCATTCAAACGAACGTCAGTGATCGTACGATTTTATGTAAGCTTATATTGTTAAAAATTTCTTCTCATATTGGCACGCGATGAATCCTACAGGTATCGATTTCGAATTTATCAATACCATTCTTTTGTGCTATCGCAAACGCTGCTATTATTATTAGGAAGATAGACCGTAAAATAAATAGGCTAGGTCGTCACAGGTGATCCAATTTACCGTTAAAAGCAGATAAGATTGTATTTTATTGAATAATAGCAATAGCGTTGGTGTATAAAAATATATTTAACGAGCGCATAATCCCCGCACGAGTCCCTGCATTACGTCCTATAATGCCATTTTTTAATGCAATTCGTACGTCAAGAATGATATTAATCGTACGTTTTATCATACGTTTTATCGACTTAAAGAGGATATAATATCCCGGTTGAGCTCATCTTATGCAATGGGGATGCAAACGCTTCATTAGCACGCAATGCCTTCGTTTTTCATTGCATAAGTCAGTTTCTAATAATAACTCGGGAATAAAATAAGCTCAAGTATACGTTGTTATTAAAAACAAATCACGGTTTTTCAAACAATTACGAGAAATTGCTTCATTAAAACGGAGAATGACGTGGTCGCGTCTGATGACTAGTAGTATCGTACGATCGACGAAAATCCACGTCGATCTTTCGCTATATGGAAATTGTTGAATGGAATTGCACGCGTTTTATTCGCACCGCGTATACGCTTAACGTGTGGAATTTTCGAGAGGGGAACGCTGGATTTACCTATCGATAAACAAATATTGACAACATGGCGTTTTGAGTAACGTTTCGAATGTCTCGTTAATGAGCGGATTTGTATTTGCGAATCGTTGTGTAACCGCGGATTTAAAAATAAGTCTCGTGATTCCTGGCTTTATGACAATTACTAGTTAACAGTACTTACTATTAGTTTACTAGAGAAGTTTGTTGGCCTAAATGTAATATTTGGCGTGTAATTAATTACACCATTTAAATTCAACACATTCAGTCCTAAATTATGGCGTTTTGGTGTATATCTAATTTTGAAAAAAGGTTTTCAATTGACCTTCCTGTGTTGGTTTTTTTACTCCAATAAATATCTCTGTTACGTGGCAGTTGGCAAGACCACATATTACTAAATGAAAATGCACTAAGTTAGCTATTACGTGTGTACGACTGCGGTATTTATAGAAAACATGGAGGTTTCCTAATTAAAACGAATACATTTTATGTTTAAAAGTTAATTAAAAAGCACCAGAGAGACTTGTTGAAAGCGAAATGTATACCGATTTCAAATAAATCAAAAAATAAAAACGTCACCAAGTCAAAATGAGAAACCTCTCAAGTCATTTTCAATGGAGTGCGTTATAGCTTAAAAACCCGCGAGGGAAGCGCCGAATATAAATAGAAAAGAGCATCTCGTGAGCGCGTTTTTATCTAAACTCGAGATGGAGATGCCGAAAAGCAATTTCCTCGAGCCCAAAACGTCAATACAAACCAGTTACATTTACGATATAAATTCGATTCATTCGAAATTCATAAGCCAATTTTTTAATATCCTTCGATAAAGCGAACTGACAAAAAAGTTAATATTCATCCCTTTCGATCCCTCTTCCATAAATATTTTATGAAATAAAACCCCATATCCCGGCCAACCTAAGCTCATCATCCCTCCCATCTGTTTGCTTGATAATAATGAAAC